GAACTTCTCCTTGATGCGATCTCCATTGCATTCTTCGTTTGATCAAAACCTGTAAGAAATATATAATTAAACGAAAAAAGTATTTTAACTCAAACATATAAATAAATGTGTGTGTGTGTGTGTATGGGAGCGTCTAAAATGACACCAGTAGAACTGGTGTCACTTTAGACTTACTATATATATATATATATATATATATATATATATATATATATATATATATATATATATATATATATAAAACAATAGGATACTCCGATTGGACCGTGCCGCCTCGGTCATCGGCTTGTCAGTCTTTTGCTTGTGACTCTTTCGTTGTGCATTTTTTGGTGCACTTGGTTTCGGTTGAGTGTCCAGAACCTACTCCGGGTCCTCTAGATTCACCGAGGTTGGCGTATCGAAAAACGTCGGGTTATTCTCGTACGTTTGGTAAAACCAATCGCGTACTTGTTTGGCTCAAGACCGGACGGAGAAACGGAATAAGAGAATGGATTTAGGTTAAAATAAAAGAAATACTTGAATAATTCTTTTTATAGAAATAGGAGAGAGATTTGTGTTTGTGGTGCGTGTTTTAATATTTACAAAAATTATGAATCTATAGAGGAAGATTTTTTTAAAAAAAAACTTGCAACGACATTATAGCTGTTGGGGAAGGGAGATGGTTGCGTTAAATGTTTGACGCATGCAGCTTAACGCCAGAATGAAGTCCCCCTGCGATGTTTAAAGCCACTGTTAAAATCGAGAAAAATACCCCCAATGTTATTAGTATTCCAAGTGCTCTAAGCATCATTCATTTTTTTACACTCTTATAATATTTCGCTATTTTAAATTATTTTTTAATACATTTTACTCAATTCATATTTCCATATCTATTATGGCTTCCATGCTGAATTATAAATGGCCCGTTGGAGTATGATAAACACTACAATATTCTTTATGTTATTTTTAAATGTGTAAATTTTATTTTTGAATTTTACACATATAATCAAACAAAATTTAAATGAAAATAAATTTGGTCTAAGCTCACCTCGTAAATCATAATGAAAAATTCAATTCCATGCAAAGGCAGAAATAACTTTTTTTAAAAAAATTATGGGACTCACTTGACCCCATAGTGCGTCCCCCATTGGTCACCAACCACCCGCTTATGTAGGATTGTACATCACATCAATGACCCTGATATTTAAAAATATTGCATAAATGATATCTCTATGTTTGATTAGAAAGTGTCCTACTTACACACTCATCAATAAATTTATGGAGGCATGATGAAAATGTCATGAATCAATAAAGGCGTTGAACAATTGATGAAGAGCTTGATAAACTAATGCCTGGGTTCGAGTTCGGTTACCAATAATCGTTTAGAGTTTCAAGAAGTTAACAATATAGAAGATTATGTTTCGGGAGACCTACTGCATTGACTAACATATGATTAATGCACTCCCAAATTTGACATTGAAGGAGCTTTGATGCAACATTTTAAATATTCAAGGACCACTAGTATAATTTTTGAAGTTCACATGGAATCTGCATAATTTTGGAGATTTTGAGGGTAAATGGTGCAAAAAGTTCATACTCTTCATCCTCCAATCAATACCACTCTCCAAAAAATTTACAAAATCTCTTTGCTTTTAAAATCTTTTTAATTATAAATGGTAATGAAAACAACAAGTTGTATAAATCACATCGTTCAAAAATACATAAAAAAAATTCTACGAAATAAAAAAGAAGATGAGAAAATGATATTTGGTTTTATCTAATGATCAATGAGAACCCTACAAATAAACAAAAATTGTTGAAAGAATATAATAGTAACAGGAATACTCATTTTAGGATCTAGGGAGTAATTTTTTAAGATACTTTTGACCCATTCACGGATTACGGATATGATTAAGGTAAATTAGACAATAATGCACCTTTCTGACATTTTAACCCACAAGAAAAAGAAAAATAAAAATTACTGGATCTTGCCGTCTGGGTAAAAGATCGCCAAAAAAATCAAAATATTACCCTAACAAATCTTTATTTGATTTTATTTGGCGCGTGATAAAAACATACAGAATATTATTCAAAGTCTTTTTTACGGGTCTTCGGTCCCGCGTCCGTTTTTTTCAATGTGAATACAGTGTAAACGTTTAAAAAGTCAAGTTTTATCAAATAAAGGTAAATCCAACGGTTTGGGCTTGGGCAATGACGCCACTGGTGATGTAAATAAAGAAATTTGTACACCAAACAACAATTAACTTAGGGTGGATAGCAATTTGTTTTAGTTGGTTTGATTAACAATTACATCATAAAAAGGACTAAATTAGAAATAAAATATGGAGAAAGTACTAAAATAAAAGTTTTAAATTTTTTAATTAATTTTTTATATCACCAAAAATATTTAATGAGATATCACTATACAATGTCATAATACAAATTCTTATTTTAGAAATAAAAATATACAAATTCTATTTTGAGAATAAATCTTATGTTTTACTCGTATTCGGGATCATTTCTTTTACCATATTCTCCCAAATTTGATTATAATTTTAATCTGTTTTCGATAAGAGAATAGACCGAGTCATTCTCCCGAATGATTTAGCCGGGTAAAAGACGCATGCACAAGAAAAGCGATACTCTATAGTTTAATCATCCAACATATTGATATAGCACATGCTTTAGCTTGTGGCCCAGAATTTTGCCTATAAATGATGTGACGCATAAGTTAATAAGCTATAGTCCAAGAGTAAAATGGGTAAGTAGAGCGGTGGTGTGGTGACGTCATTTTAGACTTACCGTGTACTGCCAGGGTAGGGAGGGGGGCGGGAGGGGGGCAAGGGTGGGGCTGGGGTGGGAGGTTTAGGAGGGGTTGGAACCGTCGTTTTTACAAACGGAGCCCCGTAAGTACCCCAAATGAACTGGTGTAAGCAAATGACACCAGTAACACTGGTATCATTTTAGACTTACCGTAAAGAAATTTAAAATAAATAAAATGAAAGATAACATTGATTAAACATCATATTTCGAAGTGGATTTTTTATGAGAAAAAATTGCTTCTCCATACTAAAAAAATACTCGGTACTTTGTTTGTCAAAGACTTTTTCTCTGTTTGACCTTGACCTATCAATGCTGGGCCTGATCAAACTGTGGACTCGGTCGGGTTTTGGATCGGACTAAGACGTTATATTGTGAAAAAATTAGACCCGAGCTCGGCCCAACCCGCACTACGAGCCCATCATTTAAAGCCCTAGCCCGACTCGTGTGAAAAGTATTGGGCTTCTAGCCGGTGCGTCCAGTTAGACCTTGTGGAATGGTTCTCTCTTTCTCCTTTTCTTATTCTGCCAACTCAGACAATGTTCTTTTGGATAGGAATTTTAGAGTTGAATGTTAGAAAAACTGGAATTAGTTTGAAAAAACTAGAAAGCGTTGAAAAAAACTGGAAGAAGTTAGAAGATGTTCGAAGAATTAAAGCGTTAGAAAGTCATCCAATTAAATGATTCTCGAAATAAATAGGTAAAAATATTTTAATTTTAGGTAAAAAAATTTTATTCTTGTCCATATTTGAGACGATACGTTATAAATTTGAATACACAATATTATTCGAAGAAATCGCCCTAAATGAGTCAATATTTACCCCATACTAAATTCCTACTGTTGACTTTTTGTATTTGGAGAATGGTGGTAGGTGACCGGTCATCCCCCGGATTTAGGTGACCGGTCACGGTTGTACCTTCACCCTCGGCGAGATGGCATTTCGGATCACGGCGGTGCGTGACCGGTCACCCCCGGACTCACGTGACCGGTCACGTTTCTTGGTCTTCGGGGATGGTCGGTGCGGACATTTGGGCGCGGCAGTTGGTGACCGGTCACCTTCCGGATTAGGGTGACCGGTCACGGTCTTGGTCTTCAAGAATAGACGTTAGACGCTTTTTTGGTACGACATTGAGCGACCGGTCACCCTCCGGATTGGGAGACCGGTCACTATCCTGAGCTCTTGAGGAAATGAAGCATTGGGCTCCGTACAACTTGACCGGTCTCACTTTTGAGCTTCGATCTGTGGATCACGCCCGGACGTATCCGCCTCCCCCAAACCCTAGTATCTAGGAGATCAATGGAGGGACCCACACCCGTCACTCAAGAAATCAGTGTGGTAAAGTCATTTGGCACTATCCTAGATTTGTATTCAATCAACATATTCTGATTGCACAATGATAGATGCTGTCTGGTTATTTGTCCTTAAGTGGGCAGCTTCCATGCACCTACTGAGCCTCATCTACTCTATAAATAATCTGTGATAGAGAGAGGAGAGGGTATTCACTACTACTTCCATAAAATCCTGTACACTCTAAAAAGAGTAAGAAATATATTCGGACTCGGGAGATTTACCCCGGTCCAGGTAATTCTGTGTTGTGTTCCTTACTATTAAGCTTATCTTTATTTACCCGGTTAGGCCTCCCTAACCCGACCCAGTTACCTACTTCTCATATCCGGTGGAATTTACACCATCAGGTGCTTATTGACTTATTAATGATAAACGATTTTCAACTTATAAGCTGTTAATAAATTATATTTTCCCTCCGTTCTTACATAAATTACAATTTTTTTTCTTTCTCCTCTCGATAACTTTTGTTTGTTTACACAATTTTATTAAGTATTTGATAAGGAACTTTTAATATGTAATTTTTATATATGTAGTTTTTTAATATGTAATTTTTATATCTTATTGATATACCAATTTGTAAATAAAATGATTTCAAAAAGTAAGAAATTTATTTTCATAACCCGGAATTTGTAATCTATTTAGGGACGGAGGGAATATTATTTAATGAAGATAAAAACCCTTAAATGATACGGAGTATATAAGTAATTTGTGAAAATTAATAATAGATGAAGGATAGTTTTAAAAACAATGAGGTCAAAACAGAAAACTAAAAAAAAACTAATTTTAAAATAAATAGACAAGACTTAATTATTTTTTATGACTTATAAATATGTTTAAAAAAAACAGCTTATACTCCATAACTCCATAGAAATAAATTTGTACTATTGACTTTTGTCATGAGTCATGAGATGATATTACTATTAAGGTGGCTCAAAACCATTTGGTGAGATGATGACCCTCCAATGCTAAATACCTCAACCTGTCAATAAACTAATGGAGGAAAAAAGAAATGTGAACCCCATTGTTTTCTGTGATCTAACTGCTCCCACACCATGTCAAAATTCCTTGTTTGGAACCCTCTCTAGGAACCCTCCCCCTCTTCAAACTCTTGATCTCCTTAAGAATCTTGGCTGTTCTTCTTCTTCTTCTTCTCCTCTTGGTAATAAGAAGCACCCGCACCCGGATGACAACGACAGGGAATTGGAAGAATGCGAGGAGTGGAGGAGGAGGAGAAAGCAATCTGCTGTTTATGGTCATCATGTAGAAGAAGAAGAAGAAGATGATGATGATGAAGATGATGTGGAGTTATCAGAGATGTTCGACAGGTTTCTGCTGTGTTCAGATCCTAATGAGTATAGCATGAATATTCAACCAGCAGCAGCTGGAAAGAGGAAAGAAATTGGGCGAGTTAAACATGACGATGATGAACATAATAAGAGTAAGAACCCAAGACTCGGCATAGATCTGAGTGCCCTTTTGATCAGCTGTGCCAAATCCATCGCCTCATACGATCACAGAACTGCAAGTGAGCACTTGAAGGAGATCAGGCTGCACTGCTCCCCTTCCGGCAACGGCGACCAGCGGCTGGCTTATGTTTTCGCGCAGGGACTGGAGGCGCGTCTGGCCGGCACCACCACACCTCCGGTGCCGCCCAAGAAGATCACCGCTTTCGACTTGCTCGAAGCCTACCGGTCTTACATGCAGACATGTCCCTTCGCCAAGATCACTTTCGCCTTCGCAAACAAGATGATTTATCTCGCCTCCTCCGGTGCCAAGACCATACACATCATCGATTTCGGCATTCTCTTCGGCTTCCAATGGCCCATCCTCATCCAGCACCTCTCCAACCGGCCCGGCGGCCCTCCCAGGGTCCGCATCACCGGAATCGAACTTCCTCCGCCCGGTTTTCCACCGCAACCACCAGCCCAATTGGTGCACCAAACAGGGCGGCGCTTGGCCAAGTACTGCCACCGCTTCGGCGTCCCATTCGAGTACAATGGGATCCCTACCCGCAATTGGGAGGGGGTCAGAGTGGAGGACTTGAAGCTCTCCGGGAGTGGAGATGAAATGGTTGTGGTGAATTGTATATTCAGATTCAAAGACATGCTGGACGAGTCGGTGGGCATGGAGAACAACCCGAGGGACGCCGTCCTGAGGCTCATAAGGAAACTGAACCCGAATCTCTTCGTGCACTCCATCGTCAACGGGAGCGTCAACTCCCCCTTCTTCGACATCCGATTCCGGGAGGCCCTGTTCCACTACAATGCCCATTTCGACATTCTTGAAAAGACGTTGCCCCGGGACGATCCGCAGAGGGCTCTGTTCGAGCAGGAATTCTTCGGGCGGGAGGCGTTTAACGTGGTGGCCTGCGACGGGGAAGAGAGGGTTTCGAGGCCGGAGACGTACAAGAAGTGGGGGGCGAGGAGCGCCGGAGCCGGGTTCAGGATTCTCCCGCTGAACCCGGAGGTGACGGGAATGTTGAGGAAGAAGGTGAAGACAGGGTACCACAAGGAGTTTGTGTTCGATGAAGATTGCGATTGGATGTTGCAGGGATGGAAGGGACGGATCCTCTGTGCCGCTTCTTGTTGGGTCCCTGTTTTCGGCGTCTCCAACGATTTCCCGTAGCTCCGGCGCCTTTACTGATACGCCGGCTAAAATTGCGGAGGAGAGGAGATTGAACGGCCGTCTACCGGCGCGTTTCTCGGAAGAGGATTGACTTTTCTTTTATGCATCATTTTAATCAATAGTTAATTATAGATAATTACCTTTTACGGAGTACATAATACTCCTCCGTTATAAAAATATTTTTTGTTTTACTCGGTAACTTTTTTGATCAAATGACTACAAATTAAACAAAATTTAAATAAATAAATGATATTAAAATTTGATATATCAAAACTATATCTTAAGATAAAATCAATTATATCGAATTTATATTATAATTAAATATACTTTTCATAGAATTTGTGGTCAAAGATTGTCTGTATTTGACTAAAAAATCAAAATAAAAAAGATTTGTACGATTGAAAAAAGTATGAGATATGTACTTGTATTATATGATTGATCTTCTCACTATAGAATATAGAAATGGAAGAACCTTCCTAAAGACATGTATCTCAGTATATTTTGAAACTTAGACATACCTCACAATTTTTATCACAAATGTGAGATATCCCTAGCAATTTTTTGTAAGTATTACCGAAGACAAGGGTTGGATCAAAATTTCATCAAATCGTTTTGGAAACCCTCTTCAGGTGGACACTATTATTCGTTTGTTATGTCTCATCAGGGATAGTTCAAAATAAGTAATGGTAACAAAAGCTAAGGCTTAGGAGTTCAAAGTAAGCTTATGTTCTATTTGAGCAAGTGCCAATATTGGTATTGTACATTATTAAGTAGTGGCCATTGTAAATGATGATATTCACCTTCATCATTAAAATTCGATCTAAGCGAAAAGAGTAAAGACGCTATCGCCCTAATCTTAGTTATTGCCTAAGTGAAAGGATCCTTACTGTCTAATGCAAATAATGATTCTAACCTCCATCATTAAATTTATCGAAGCTATTTTTTTTCTTAAGAAATTACTGGTGTGATATTATACACTACTTTTTGTGAACATACTATTGACAAGTGTTATCGTGCTCTGTCAAGTCTCAACTCTCAAGACATCGTTGTATTTAGATATTACAATGGTACTACTCCCCGTAATATGTAGTAAATAATAGTGTCCTAACTCCTAAGTTATAGTGGTCAGATCTGTCGATTAAAATACAGAATTACATAGTAACAGAGAGAAAATCATAATTTTGGCATTGAATGATAAAAATATAAATAAGGTAATAATTTTTTTTTATAAAATGTAAGTTCTTATAAAAAAAGAGGTATCTAGAGTTAAAAATTTTGTGTTTAATTGGTCAATGTAACGGATTTATAATCCCGAGTAAAATAAATTTCTGAAATTTTACTCAATATGTATTTTTTAATCTTATCTAAGTTTTGATTCCAAGTAAAAAACAAGAATAGTCTTTATTTCCGGGTAGAGATTTGATACCCCCTGATAAATCCTTGAAAAAAAAACAGTGTGTCGATGTAGATTGCTACGGAGGAGCATTTGCTACACAGATGGATTGCTGCTGCTTCAGCCCGTGACGTTATTGTCTCTATTCTTCTGAGGTACGCTTCTGAATCATATTCGCAACAAGGTTTTCGAGTTTGTAACTGATTATGTCTTGCTGAGTTTATAATGTTTGAATTATTGAAATTCAACTCCAATTTGATCAAGTACCTCTTCGTTTTCTATCATTCATTTCGGTTGATGACTACTAGGGTTTAAGCTACATGCATAGTTTCATTTTGAACATCAAGGATCAGCCTGGTTGTTCTCCATCCTGTTTTTTTTTCCTTTCAATTTTTGATTTTTCCTGTTTAATTCTTTCCCAATTTTTTTTTAAAAAAGTGTCTAAACCACATATATTTCGTAGTAATTTCCTAACTCATTTTTAAGGCAGTAGTCAGCTATTATTATGGTGGTTGGGATTACCGGTAGTGGATGTGTGGTTGTGGACAGTACTGTGGAATGTAGTTGACGGTGGAAGTGGTCGGTAGTTGCAGGTGGTGGACACTATTTGTGGCGGTTTCCGGTGGTGGTGGGCGCGGATTGTACACACACTCACACATCCAAGAACAAATAGGATATGAATATTAAAATTCATATAATGAATTATTATTAGGATATGAATTTATTAAAATTTGATCTAATATTCTAATCGCTTATGTGAGAAGGTCAATGATGAACCTTAGGTCCATGATAGAAGCATTCCAATAGTTATCATTATTGTTTAAGCCATCTCTTTTTAGTGTGTAGCAAACACTTGTTCAGATGTGAAAATGTGATATTGACAAAGCCATGAAGGCATGACTTTATATGAGTATATAATTGCTCAGTACAACAGTGGATGCAAACTCCAAGCGACATACTTGTATTAGTTCAATATGATTCATTGATTGAATAATATGAAGAAGATGTATTTATTATCTCATTGTTGACACGAATTTGTTTACTACATCTGTAAGGGCGTGTTTGGTTAGAGGGGAGAGAAAGAAAAATGACTCCTGTAGTTGACGCCATTAGTCAGTTAATATTCTGCTTGTAGTTGACGTCCTTCGCGGCAATGTCATGGACGGTTGTTGCAGGCAATAACATTGATTGTCATTGACATCGGAATTGGGAGGTTGTTCTGGCTGGTGGTCACTATTTGTGGCGGTTCAAATACCCACATTTAAGAATTAGCATTATTGTTTAGGCCATCTCATTACATTGTGTGGCATACTTGTTCAGATGTGCTATTGCCAAAGTTCAATGTGATTCATTGATTTTGATATGAAGAAGATGCATATACAATATATTTCTCTTTGTTGGCGCTAATCTGTTTATTACATCCATATGTTTGTGTTTGGTTAGAGGGAATGGAAGGAAAAATGATTCCCTCTCCTCATTTGGTTCAAATTCTTTAGGGTGGGGAAGCCAGAGTTTTCACACCATTCACATCCCATCGCGTCCAAATGTTGAGGGGATGGAAATATTTTGCTCTTTAACCCTAAAGATGTTTTGAACCATATGTGGGGGGAGGCAATCAGTTTCCTTCCTCTCTCCTCCAACCAAACACACCCTAAATCTCCGGATTCTCCTTGTTTTTGGAAGTGTTATCAAATCCATTCACTTCTCACTCATCGATGTTCTTGCTATGGATACTCCAGGATTGATCTTTTCACATACTGTATGTTTATGGATCCTCGATTCACTGGCTTTGCAGAGCACGAAGATCCATTCCTTGTTTCAACCTTTCTGCAATCGTTGGATACTCCTCAAAATGACTCTTTAGCAGCTCTGGGTTTCACCGATAACCCTTGGACCACACTTGGTTCCAACCATGGCCATTTTGTTCCACCTGCAGATTTGGATTCCCCAGATGCCGATGACCCTATGTCCAAGGGTCCACCTGCAGATTTGGACTCCCCAGATGATGATGACCCTGTGTCCAAGTACCTCAGCCAAATACTATTGGAGGAGAACATCGGTGAGAAGCCGAGTATGTTCCATGATGCAGTTTCTCTTCAAGCTGCCGAGGATGACTTCTCAAGCTCCCATGATAAGAGCCAACTTTCACCTCATCAATCCCAAGTTAGCCATAATAACCCAGAAAGCTCAGGCAACATATATGAGAATTCCAATGCAAGCAATGGCACCATTGGTTCTCTAAATACAAATAATATCCAAGTATCAGATGTCAGTAAGCTTGGAAATATGTTTGGTGACACAGAGGCCATACTAAATTTCAAGAGAGGAATGGAGGAAGCTAGTAAATTCCTGCCCGCTAATAATGAATTGTTTATTGATTTCGATAGATACCCATTTCCTCAAAAGACAGTTGAGTTGCCTAGGGATAATGCTATAAACAAGGTAAGGAATACTGAGATTGATAACAATTCACTTAGAGGAAAGAAGCATCAGCATCCCGATCATGGCTATGAGTTTGAAGAAGAGAGGAGCAGCAAGTTATCTGCGGTTTATGGGGAAGAACAGTTATCGCAGATGTTTGATAAGGTTTTGCTGTCTGATAGTAATGTGAAAAATCGTGTGAAGAATATTCAATGCTCACCTGAAGTAGTTGGCAAGGGCAGGCCTCGTAATGGTGGGAAACGACATCCTAATAAGCAGCAGCAGGGAGATACAACAAGTGAAGTTGTAGATCTGCATACTCTTTTGATAAGATGTGCACAATCGGTTGCCACTGACGACCACAAGTCTGCAAATGAACAATTAAAACAGATCCGGAAGCACTGTTTGGTCAATGGTGATGCAGATCAGAGGGTGGCATATATATTAGCAAACAGCCTTGAGGCGCGTCTGGCTGGCACGGGGACCCTCCTCTTTAAGTCCCTAACCCCTAAAGGAATCACAGCTTTTGACAAGTTAAAAGGATACCAGGTTTACATGTCCGCAATTCCTTTTAAGAGGACAGCAATAGACTTGGCAAATAAAATGATTTACATGGTCTCATTGGAAGCCAAAGCGCTACATGTCATCGATTTCGGCATTCATTACGGTTTCCAATGGCCCATCCTTCTCCAGCATCTTTCGAACAGGCCAGGTGGGCCTCCTACACTTCGTATTACCGGAATCGATTATCCTAAACCTGGTTTCCGTCCAGCGGAATTGATAGAAGAGACCGGGCGCCGCTTGACAGATTATTGTGAACGCTTTGGCATACCATTCAAGTACAATGCCATAGCGACACGAAATTGGGAGACGATTAAAATTGAAGATTTGGAGCTTGGTGATGATGAGATGGTTGCCGTGAATTGCTCATTCCAGTTTAAAGACGTGCTTGATTATAAGGTGGTTATGGAGGATAGTCCTCGTGATGCCGTCCTCAGGCTAATCAGGAAAGTGAACCCAAGGGTTTATGTGCAAGCTGTTGTAAACGCAGCTTATGGCACGCCATTCTTTGCTTCTCGGTTCCGGGATGCTCTCTACCACTACTACTCCTTTGATATTTTCCACATTTTTGTTTATTAACCTCAGCTTTCCTCCAGGTAAAACCCCTCTTCTAAAGGATGACAATAGAATAAGGGCATTGTTAACAAAAAGAGAAAATCACAAGAAGAATTGATAAAGTCAAACTAATAGGTTTTATTTTACTTCATCAAGGTTAAGACTAATTACCCTGGTCGATCTGGTAGATCGCGGTATCAGAGGTGCTCGATAGCCATTATTGTCTGATCTCTTATGCAACAACACCATGTCTTTAGACTCGAAAGTAATTCAACTGGTAAAAAAGAAGGGTAAAGACTTGTAATATTTGTAAAGAATGAAATTCAGAAAAAATACAGTGCATAGAAACTGATCAAGATAAACCTGGATTTATAATTCTATATATTGAAATGCGAAAAAAATATCAAATACTACGCGTAAAAGGGAAGGATTTCCAAGAAAACAGGACAAGGCAATGAGAAATTAAAACAAAAAAGATTTCAAAAAGGAACATAAAAGATGGAACTTCAGACAGAAATTGAACATTTCTGTTACATTTGAGAATATATGATCAGAAAATTTAACAAGAAAATACAAATGGGATGAGGGATCAAGTAATTACCAACTCTGCACCAGATTCAACCTCAGGCCATTTTCTCCTCTCCCAAAAAGATCAAAACTTTACGCAACCCAACAATGAAATGAAATTCCCAGAGATCAGTGAAACAATTTCAAGAACCCCCAGAAAAAGATTGAAATTTGAAATCTAATTCAAAGAAGAACCAAAATTTCAAAACCCCAAAATGCCCATTTCCATCAATCACTCGATAAAACTCTCTTGTTCCATCTTAGGTTGTAAAGAACCAAACTTTTTTTTGTAAAGAGGAAGAAAAACCCTGGGAAAACCACCACCTTTTTTCATTCATGGTTAAAACCTCAGTTTTTATACAGGGGGGCTACGGTTACCGGACCAAGCGGTAAAATCTTGATTCGGACACTGCATGAAACCCCCCCTCCTCCTCCCCGAAGACCGGTTCTCCGCCCTCACACTCCCGCCATACTGCTGGCTCTGGATTCTGCCACGTGGAGCTCTCTCCGAATCGGGTGGTCACGTGTTGGTCTCTCATAGTCGAGAAAACCGTCCGGTCAACCAATGGAGGGAATTTCTTCTCGCCCTTTGTTTTTTTTCTCTCTCTCTCTTTTGGACATGACAAAAACATGGGGTTTATGTATATTACGAAGTACTCCCTCCGTCCCGCTATATTCGTCCACTTTTGACTTTTGGAACTGTTTATCTAAGCACTTTGACTTATCAAATTCTCTCAATGTGTAAGCCTAAATATAGTCATGCGTGATCTTATTTGATTTGTCTTAACATATAGATTATTAATATATAATTTCTATAATTTTTTAATATATAAATTACAAGATAAAATGGATTAAAGAAGTGTATTGGATGGTGTGCAAAAATGAAAGTGGACAAATATAGTGGGACGGAGGAAGTATTGTTTAAATACGGAGTATAAAAAAAACATCCGACAAATGAATAACACGTGGCTATATACGTGGTCAGTTTCCACCCTTGTCAGATAATTTTCATCCATAACAAAAAAAGAGGATGAAATCATACTAAGGAGTTTTGAGAATCGGACGGAAGGTCACTTGAGAAAAGGTAAATTAGACTTTGATTACAATTTGGTGTCAAAGAGTGAAATGCTACTTGCAGAAACCTTACATTTACTACTTAGCACAATTTTAAATGCAATTCTCAAGAATCGAACTCACGTACCATCCATAACATTTATGCTCCTTAGTGTGACATTTTTACAGACAATAAAATATTATAGGGTAATTACACTCGATATAACAATTGTGTAGAAAATGAGTTTTTATAGCCCGAATAGATTTATTTTATTTTTGTAAAAATAAAACGATACTCCCTGGTTTTGTTTTTTTTTTCTTTTTTTAACCACCGGGCAGCAAAAATTGTCCCAAGTACAATAGACATTTACGGTTATCCAAAGATTTTTTACCCCCCTTAAAAACTAATTTAAATTATTTTAATTTTTTTTTGCCAAGATACACAAAGGAAAGCCGGTTAGTGGTGGGGGGGCTAGCTGTTAGCCTGTTACTGGACGGTTACTTTTTAAATAGATTCTGGCGGAGAATGTAGATTCGGGTTATTCTTTAATTGTTTTTGTTGTAGTTTTTTCTTGATTTGTTCCTTTTATTGTTAATATGGAGGCATTTTAGAGACACTTTGATAAGATTTTCCTTTTCTTGAAGTTACAATATCTTTTATACGTCAATTCTTATTTATTTTTTTCAAAACATACGTCAATTCTTATAGAGAGTAATACTCTGTAATTATAACTTTCATGCTAAACTTATCTTTAAATTGAGAGTTATCACTTATCAGTCATTCAGTCATATCATCTAAGAAAAAATTTCATAAATGATCCTTAATTACAAATGAATTTCCATATTTAGTCTCTAATCCTTAAATATTCTATAAATGATACTCCCTCCGTCCACAAATAAACTTTACGTTCACTATTCATAGGGTCAAACTTTATTCACTTTGTTGGCTTATTTTCGTCATCCATTTGATAAAATAATATAGTCATGTCACCTCTAGTTTTGTACAGTATATAAAATGATTTAAAAATGATTTCAGACAAACATCGTAATGCGTAATGTAAAGTTTATTTGTGGACGAAGAGAGTATTCAATTTTGAAAAATTATTTCATAATCAGTCCTTCAAACATTATTTGTGAAAAAATATTTTTTTCATATTTGGCCTAAAGAATTTTTAATAAAATAGTTTTCCGAAATTGTAGACCACTTATATAATATCTAATAATTGAGGGCTAAATATGGAAAACTACTCGTAATTGGGGAACAATTATGTAATTTACTCATTCAATATTTCATTATAAACGGAAAGGATAAAACAAAATCATACTATGACCACAGGCACCTATGGTACTCCATTGATAAAATTGATAGTTCTTACTCTTGAAATACTCCATCCGTTTCTTAAAACAGTTCTTGTTTTGACTTTGAACAAAATAAGAAAAATGCAATTTTAATTGACTTTCCAATTTTGCCCCTGATGTAATGGGTAAAAGTAAGATGTGATAATTTGGTTATTAGTGAAAAAGTATGGTGTGATAAGTAAGGTATGCAAAAGTAAGGATAAAAGTGGTTTTTTAATAGTAAAAGGAAGTGTTTTAAGGAAAACAAAATAAATGAAAGAGGAAGAATTTTAAGGAACGGAGAGAATATATATAGTTGTCACTTGTCACGAATTGGAAATTTGATGGTATGACAATAAGATTCACCCAAAGGGAAAAGAAGAATTGCATATAAACACAAATAACCTTACATTCATTGGTTAGGTTTATTGGTCGATCATTATACATGAGTGCATCAAAACAAACCAATGTAGTTTAGCACTACTTTGAGTAATTTGCTCCACCAATTTGAGCAACATTTGATACATGTTTGGGACACACCAAATTGTATCAAAGAAATGCAGGTTTTTGAGGTGTAGAGTGAGAAATGCTTGGAATCACATAAATCACAATAGAGAGAGAGATTTCATCCCCCCTAAAACAGGCAAATACAACTTAGCCACTAAGACGAACAGACACTCCAACATTGTACACAGAGACATATATAGTACACAAACCACAGTGCAAAATGTATACTGCAACCAAAAAAAACTTTGATAGACTTCTCACCCAGAAACCGCATCACCATACTGCCACGGATTGAACTCCACTGATCTCGGATCTTCCGCATCAATGCTTCCAGAAGAATCTAAAGCAGCACGATGTTCACTGTACTTGCCATTATAGCTGTAAATTTCTAATTCTCCCCATGGTGTTGGATTAACTTCGTCGGTCATGTCAAACCATCTCGGTGTGAACTGATGCCCATTTTCCTCACGGCTTCTCTTTTCAGCTCTTTGCTTCTCTTCCAACCTAACAAGGTAGTTGAGTTTGATAACACAATCTTTGGAGAGAAATGGTTGTGTACATAAAAGTAAATACTATGTAGGACACCAAATAGTAGCACTCCCTCATTACAAATAAAAATGTCACCTTTTCAAATTTTCTTTTGTCCCAAATTAGTTTAGCATTTTATAAATTTAAGACTGTATTTATTTAAAAAAATTCAACTTTACCCCTGTATATTCAAAGACTACGGAACTTCCCATATTCTTCACCTTAGATAACTAACCCCCACCCAATCCCAGTCTAATGAGCCATATTTGCCATTGGTGGTAAAAGTCGTTGAACTTTGAATCCATAATCTATCATCATTATCAACACTTTAATCCCAATTAGTTGGTGTCGGTGGTGACCAATCATTAACAACTCTCCAATGGTTTAATAAACATTATACAGTGTACATTGTGTGCCTTTACGAAAGTATTCTTAATAGAACATTTTTATTCTACGCCTGCATATAAACCATTTTGCAAAAAGAATGATACGGAGTATAAAATTAATCAAAGTTGGAAACATTTGATCTGAAACTAAAAATTGACCTATTAAAGTGGGATGAAGAGCAGATTAGTATTGTACATTCTTCTGTTAATATATGTTAACAATTCTTTGACGTTTAAAGCACTACAATGTGATGCCTTTTTTGAGGTTGTAGAATGCTAGATTATCACAAATATGCAAATCACAAATTGTAGTGGTGTGACGAAAAAAAGTGGTTATGGTTGACAAACCTGCTCTTTTCAGCACCGGCTTTGGACAAATCGCCTAATTCAAGAGCAGCTCTATCAGGGCGCAAACGAGAATCAGATGCTAGCAACTTTTTGGGAGCAGTATCAAAACTGTTAATTTTGTGAGCAAAGTGAGTGTACTGAAACTTATCATTTGGTGGAACAGCAGCAAGTCTCCAGACCTACAACATTGCAAGTGTGTCATCTTACAATTAACTGAGCAGCCACCATGTTTATACAAAGTATCAGAGACTATACATCAAATTTGCTATCTAAGAACACCAACCACTGTAACCCCCATAAATTCCTAAATGCAAGAAAAGTACATAATATTTCAACGTCTTTAAATTTTAATGTTCTATCCACTAATATAACAATGACATAGTGTAAATCATACATAATCTAGAAAATGAGAAATTACCTCTTTAAGTTCTGTGCCAGGAAGAGGCTCACCTTCCATGTCACATGGTTGAAAGCTCATTGATTCATTCCATTTCCCTGTCATCAGTATCTTTGGTTCCTCGGCAGCATTGTAAACATATCCATCAACCTCATATCGCCCAGCCCTGCACATAAACATGCAGTCATGAATGCATACAAGAACCAGATGTGATTTATATACCTTAAAATGATAGAGAAAAAACCCCTGCCACTGAAAACAGAAAGAGGATGAAATTCAAAAGATAGGGCTGATCGCATAGAACACAGCCACGAAACACCCTTATGAGAAAAGTGCAGAAGAAACAACTGTTCAGAAAGAATAACTGTCTACAAACAATTTGAAGCTAGCAAATGAGAACTAACATACCCAAACCAACCACAAGGTTGAAAGTAGAGCACAGCTTTATCCCCCGTTGTCATATTGGTCATGATCATTTCTCCAGGTGAATCCACCCATGTCCGGCCAAAAATCAAATTGTTTACCTTTGTGGGTGGCGGAACCAAATCCAAGACATGACCATCCCTTTTAAGAGTCACTCGTGTTCTGCATTCAAAACATAATACATGTTGAAGCTTTTAAAAGAACGTATATAGAGTTGAGACATAGTTAGTTCAATTACTCCAAGTGAGCCAAAAGCGTAAGGTGACCTAACTTATTATGCAGAAAAAAAAACTAATATAGAAAAACAGTTAATATGCCTAACAGTAACAAGGATTCATATAAATGTTAATAGCCTAAAACGATAAACACTATTCTATACCATTTGATGTGTTTGGAATGTGCACCAGGGCTTGAAGCCATAGTTGATATTCAAAATCATGTCTTAGAAAATTTAGCAGTAAGACCCAATACTCATAGGACTTAATACACACAGGATATCCCAATTAAAGTTTGAGAATTTTAAGACTGAGGTTGACTATCTACAGCATGATAAATGAACCTCGAAATATATAAAAGCTTCATAAAAATAAAGCATAAATTGGTCATTTAAAAATGACGAGTCTCGAAAAACAAAGGGGTGCACCTACAAAATTTGTGACTTTTCGGGCTTGAGTTGGAATTTGATTCTAGCAATGGGATTTTATTGGGTTTGTCAAGTAGGAATTTCATTTTAGCTCGTCCAAAACTCTACTGCATTGTAATTGGTAAATGATTCTAGGGATACGTTAGAGCCTCACATTAACTTGTAATACTCATAACTCAAAGTCATAATTACTCCCTTCGTCCTGAATTAAGGTTTCCATAATTAACGTGGCACAAGTATAAAGAAGAGTGGAATGGAGTGGTTGAGAGTAATGCAAAGAAGAGAGAAATAATGTAAACCATATGATCATTTATTCAAAATAGAAAGTGGAACCTTATTCTCGGACATACTAAAAAATGTGGAACCTTTCTTCGGAACGGAGGGAGTAACATTTAGTACATGAAAATTACATAGAAATGTCATAGAAATTGTGTAGTAGTGACTACAATATAAAAAGTCTGTAATAATACATACCGAGTACAAGAAATCTAGTCAAGAAAAAACAAGTTCAACCAGTTCACTGTAAACAAGGCATAAAATGGGACAAATTGACTAAAAATTAAATCATTCTCTTTTTCTCATACAAATAAAAAAGATGAGAATGGCACTACATGGTTTCATAGAAAAACCAGAAACTTGAACCTAAAGTCAGTAAAACAGGAGTTCGTGCTGACCTTCCAACAGGATAAACATCAACCGAATTTCCCAAAAATTTGGTTTTCAACTTTGATGTAATATCATATATGAAATGCTCATTCTCAGCATGCCCGGCACTCATTGGAGGATGATGGCTCACCTGTACAGTTTTAATCATTAACACTACTAAAGTATATCAAATAAAGAAAAATTGCAATCCACACATATTCTGCAACGACCAAAAGTACTTCGGATCTGATCAACGGCAACGGCCTTATATATATTCTCATTTTGGAATAGAGGGAAGGAACAACATCAGCAATAGGCAACATAGAGCAAATTAAAGAAAATATGAACACAATGGAATTACCTGCTCAGAAATAAATGTAATCCCACCATGATTCACCATTTCATAAGTCTCACCAAGAATTGGATTAAAAGGCTTCCACGTGCGTTGGTAGGCATAGTAAACAGATATTGCCCATGATGCTGCAAGGATTTTTATTAATGCTCTGATTCTAAAAATGTATCAAACAGAACATGATAATCCACTAGCATTTTCTGTGCACAAAAGTGAGGTTACACTCACTTGCATAGACCAGTCGCATGTATGGATCCTCACATTCATCTGCCTTATCTAAAAGATGGGAGTATTCCATTAACTGCCACAAGAATTAAAAGAATAGATTATAAAGAAGATTCTCCCTTCCCTTCATCTCTTTCCATTTAGTTGTGTTTTGGTAGGTCATTGTGGAAGTGTGGGGAGTAGTGTACCAGCAAAAACAAACAAAGAAACAAACAAGGTGCAACAAACCTCTGCCATTTTTTGAAGCATTGTCATTGGCTCAAATATAAGAACAGGAAGCGTCACCATCGATGTAACATCAGCTCCTATGTAGTTCTGCATCATCTTCCAGTAGCTATCTCGTTCCTTTTGATATATCGATAACATATTAGTTTACACGTTGAGTTTGGAAATAATGAATATCAAAACTACACTAGTATTACAAATGAATGTACCTACGATGAAATGTGAATGCACAATAAACTACATGTTTATGAAGAAATCTGAACATATACATAATGCATGCACACAAAAAAAAAAAAACATTTTCATAGAAATAAACTAAACAAATAATGTAAGCACAAAGGAGCATAGCTTAATTTCACCTTGGATGTGGACATTAAAAACATTTGTTCATATACACTTCTACAATTGTGAGTCAATATTCATGGATTACTTAGAAGAATGGGAGGAAAAAGTAAATTTACGGGAAGGATTCTATCTTCGCAAAATCGAAAAATACATATGATTGAAGGATGGCTCACCTCCTGTCTCCATCTGCCTCTATGTGCTTCATCTTCGGCATCTTCTTTACCTCCTTCAGGATTTATAACTTCCAATCCTTCGTATCCAAGCAATCTAGAGGCGATGAGAAAGAACTGAGTTGGAAAAAATAAACCATCTACTACACATTAATGAGAGGGATCTTGGGGAACCATGAGAATTACCTAGTTCAAACCTACCTAACGTAGGGAAATAGGAACGTGGGAGGAAATAACTATCATTTTCATAAAGCCTAAATAAAGGGGATAGATGAAGCTATTCACAATAGAGCAAAGATGGAAAGCACATTTACATTACAGTGCAACAAATTCACTGCTTCAAGCAATGAAATGATGAAGCAATGAAATGATAATCTATGAGTTACAATCTAGAAATACAAAATATGAAATATGCATATATGCATATAGTGTTAGGTTTAGGATGTCCATTTTTTCTCCCTAACAGTTACCTGGTGTAGCATTAAAAAAATATGGTAGCGATTTCTTATAAAATGACATATAGGTGTAAAGTGACAAATAAATTAGGGGTAAAACTAAGAGCTTGTTTGGGGAGGGGTGTGAGATACTGAGATTATATAAGTAATTCAATATCACATTAGAATAGCATGCAATATCACTTAAATCTAGAACAATATTGAAATTGGAACATAGAAAAAGACTAGTTTACTTAGATCTATATTATATCACTATATCAATACTTAGTGCATACTCCCTCCATCCCAAAATGAAGGTTAAACTTTATCTTTTGGGATGTCCCATAATAAAGTTTGCCTTTTCTTACTTTCCTTGATGTGAAGACCACAACACCTCTCTCTCTCTTAAACAAATATCAACTACATACAGAGTATTCTTTTCAACACTTTGTAAACTATTTCGGGATGATGGAAGTATTATACACTAAGGTATTGTTTAAAAATTTTGGGGCCCCTCAAATTTTGAGACTGTAAGCATCCGCTCCCCTGCTTCCTCCAAAAAATGGCCCTGCTATGGGTAACTTCTTATATGAACCTAATGTCCATAAAAGAAACTGCTTCTGCATTAATTGCATGAAGTGTATTTCTCCTATTGCGGATTGCAACGCCAGCAAACACTCAAACACACATTTATAAGACTCGTCTACTATGTCACTGCAAACAAGACTTTTGTGTTCAAAAATCAAAATCCAAAATCTGTTAAGACTTTGGTATAGATAATTGTATGGATTCTTTTTATATCTCTTGCACCTCAGAAAATGGGAAAGGGAAATTGAGTTAAAAGGATACCAAGTTAAAATCTAAGTCGGGAACATACATAAAATTGAAAATCAACGCCTTTATAATATTGGAACTTAAAAAATCCTCTCAATCATGAGCGAACTAAGGAGAAAACAGATAGGCCAGAGCAGGCTGAGCACGATGAAACAGAAACACCGAGAGGCTTACCCGTTGACAGATCTATGCAGGGCGCTGCTGAACATCGACAATCCCGACGACATGGACGCGAAGAAACCCTTGCTCTGGCTCTTCTTCGGGCTCCCCATATCCGCTATAGTTCGATGGACCTGAGTTCCAATTGAAGTCGATCCGATTCAATTCCGGCGAGAAGGAGACGAATAAAAACCTGATCAATCCGCCGATAATAAGAGGCTGAAACGCAAATTTTGCAGGGGCGATGGAGATGGCGACGGGGCGATGTTTTGGGGTGAAATTGATTCGACCAGCGAGGATATGAGGTGGTGCGGTTCTCCCCTTTGTTCGCGCTCCAGTTCTCTCTCTTTTTTCTTTCCTTTTCTTTCTTTTTTTCTCCTTTTTGCTTTGTAGATTTTTATTTACGACATTTTTCAAAATAAATGAAGCAAATAATATGGTTTCTGTTGCTGTTGCACGTTGTGATGTTTAATTGAAATTATTTTTAAATTATTTTATATAAAATATCAAATGAAATTAAAAAATAACTATATTATTTTACACTCTCCGTCCTAAAATTAATTTCCTAGTTTGACTTTTACAGTCAATTTTTTTAAACTTTGACCGTATATTACGGAAAAAAATATATTAAATTTTCATATAAATTTATTATCAATAGATTCATTTTGAAACATAGTTTTAAAATATGTTATTTTTGTAATATATATTTATATAAAAATGGAGATATTAATGGTCAAAGTGTCGCATTGGAGACCGTGAAAAATCAAATGGGAAGTTAATTTTAGGACGGAGGGAGTATCAAATTGGCAACGAAAATACGCTAATAAAGTTAATAAAGTTTGACAATGAAAATAATGAACGAGAATATAATAGTAGGACGAACTGACAAAGGGAGTATATATATTTTTGAACACTAATAACTTTATTAGAAGGTAGAGTCTATCCATACATTCTCAATCAATTGATGGCTGGAAGTTATTATTTTCATCAGGAATCGAACACGGGATCTATCATTTGAGAGAGTAATAACGATGTCATTGGACTACAAGATCCTTGACGGAGTAAAATATATAAGAAAAATTATTTTAAATAGTCCCTGCTTTTCACATTTTTAAAAAAAATGAGTTCACTTTTCAGTGTCACCGAAAATAATCATACATTTTCACATGTGTGCGCGTTTTGTATCGCTGTTAAGAAGCTAATGGCCACTTATGGTTCAATTTTTGGAAAATGCAAATTTTCACAAATAAATGAGAGGTGAGATTATTTAGGCAAATTCACTTATTTCTTTTTATAATTTTAAATTTTAAATTTATGTTTTTAGAAATACAAGAGTACACTCTGTTTTTGCTCTTCTGCCAGTTCTGTCGTACAAAATATAATGGTTTGTTTGGCAACAATGTTAAAGGTTTGAAACATTTTGAAAATACTTTTTAACGACATTGTTATCTTACACCATTAAAATTTTATCTAAAACGTTAAGACTATTAGAAAATATTGTTACCAGATAAGATCCAATTTGTATAACCAAAGAAAACCGAATTCCTTTCTTCTTTTTTCATACATACGGAGGGAATCTTTCGACCATTTATATTTATTGAGTCGTTATAAGTCTTGCTTGATAACAACGTTTTTATTATCATTAGCATTTCAGATAAATTTTTAATAACGAAGATTAATTCTGAAAAAACTAACGCTAAAAGTTAACGTTATATAACTTTTTCGATACGCTAACTTTAACCTCTAATGTTGATGTCAAATGAGACCATAATGTATTTGTTCAATTTCATTTAAAGGTCATAATGCACTTTTCAGGTTAAATATCTATTTTGCCCCCTTTTTTTCAACCCATACCCATCCAACATAAATGTTATCTACCCTTTGGTGATTTGTTTAGAGGAATGAAAATAAAAGATGTAAAAATAGAGAGTAGAGAAAATAACAAGAAAATAATAAAAAACAAAAAGTATATTGTTTGGATGAGTAGAAAATGAATAAAAATGAGAAGAAAAGAAAAGAGATATAGTTATTTCATTTCTTTGACTTATATTCCGTATAATCCTTTATTTTTGCCGAATTTTATTTGAGATCTTAGACTAAAAAAGGAAAAGAGAAATATGACTTTTCCATATTTAAAATAAATGGGTGTTACTTTTTCTAATTAAATTCAAAACAATGAGACACCGTTATTATAATTAAATAGGTCTCTTTTGATTATAATTAAATATACAAAATACTTTCATAATAGTACTCTCATAACTATTATTGAAATCTCCAATTTTGTGAAGGGTATGTATATAGGCCCTCACATTGTGAATAATGATATTGTCTTATATCATTGTTTAGGGACATTCAAATTTATATACATGGATGCATATAACTTATCTGATCACAAAATCTTTAACCCTATGTTTGGTACAAGGAATTTGAAAGGAAAAGAAAAAAAAATGAAGTGCAAAACTGATTTTGTTGTTTGGTTAGAAAGGAAAAGTGGGAGGAAAAGAAATTAAGAAGACAAAATATATTAAAAGAAGGGAATACCAAATTCCTTCCATTTTAATGAGGAAAGTGTGAGAAAATCATTTCCTTTTCTTTTCCTTCCAAAATTCTTGAACCAAACATAGTGTAAAGATTTTCCTATTTTTTCTCCAACTAGCTAAACAATAACAACTACAATATATAGAATGGACAAAAATTATATAGACATTTTTCTACATACAAAAAGAAAAAAAGAATTGCACTACTATTTTTCTAGTTAATTAGGTGATCTCCTAAAGAAATGATCCCATTCATGCTTCTCTAAACTCCCAAAAGTATAATACTTCCAACTATTTTCCTCATCAAAATCCACACTCCAATCCTTCTTCTTCCCCTCACTCATCTCTTTCCTCACCTTTCCCACTTTATCTAACACACCTTCAATCGCCAGATCAAACGCATCCTTAATCTTCTCCATTTTTTCTCTGGGATCAGCATAAACAACTTTAGGAATCATCCTAATCACCTCCTCCCTCATTTCAGCCACCCGGGATTTTGATATCTGAGACAAAATCTTCTCTATGTTTGCCTTATTCTCTTTTACATCGTCTTCCGGGATAAGAACCGAATAACTAGTGTGGTTTCTGGGTAAATTCCATATATACTGGACGTAAGCTGAGGCAGGGGTGAAGAAAACAGGTATACATCCAGCTAAAATGGCGTCGAAAGTTGACCGTCGGGTGAATGAATCTCCAGGAGGTTCTAAGCAGAAGATGGAATTTTGAAACAACTTCATGAGGTTGAATGGGTTGTCACATTTTTTGTTTTCCGGTTTGCATTCCAAGAGTTTGCATTTCCCTTTGGTCGATCCGAGGCACTGTCTGATGATCTGGCCTCGGATCGATTCCTCCATGTTCGGCCTCGGGCCGCCGGCGAACGAGAACAGCGTTCGCCGGCGTTGCCGTCTCATCCTGTCCTGCCACCGTGTGACCTGACGGTCGTTGGAAGGGTGGAAATAAGAAGGGTATGGGATGGCAAAGTCGTTCTTGCTCCAAGGACTTGACTCGATAGTCAACACCGTCATGTTCCGGACCTCGGGCAACAACATGAGCTTATTCCCCCAAGAAGATTCGCCGTTATCGTCGTCCAACCGCCTGAAATCCCACGTTATCCGTCCCGCCACCACGAAGTGGTCCCTACCGCCCATCACGGCCCACTCAGGCCTTTCCTTAACCCACTTTGCCAGGTCAAGAGCGCCCGAATCGCGGACCGATACATTGAACCCTCCCCAGAGGTACCTACCCACGTCGAGTCCCGCGTAATACGGGAGAAACACGGCAGAAGCCTCCGAGGAGTCGTTAGTCAAGCACTTGTACCGCCTGATTCGGGCGTGGAACAAGGGCTCGAGCGAAAACTGGTTCGTCGAAAACCATCCCTTCTCATGGAAAGAATCCCCAAGATCATGACCCATTCCCATATTCACCAAGTACTCACACATATCAACCCATCTACTCAACACTTTACAATCCCTCACCAAATCCTCATTGAATCGGCTCGGCAAATCGTGGACGTAAATATACCGCCCGTCACACGGTTTTTTTCTGGGCTTTTGATGATGAACTCCACTTTCTCGATTCTTAATGGTATTGACAGGATCAACATTAAAAGACTCGATTGAAATTATGGTTTCTTGCTTGGACAACAAAGATGTTCGGGGAAAAGAGAACCAGTCGAGGCCATAGATCAAAACGTACCAAAACAGGAACATGACAAAAAACACGAACCAAAACTTGCTGGGAAACCACCTTGGGGCGATGGGGTTCTCCATGTTATTGTTCTTCGGCATTGGGATGAATCTGAAACTCATGGAAAAATTAAAGCAAGATCCATATTAAGTGAACCTTGATTGGGAAATTGATGAAACAAAACACACCCATAGTAACGTCAATTCTTGTGATTCATGGCGATGGAGAAATCTCATGGAAAGGTTGGAGAGAAAAAGGGAAAGATGTTCTTTTTCCTTCTTTTGTGGTGTTCATGCCATAATTAATTTCTTGGGGGATGGTCAAAGAATATCACTAGGATTTAAACCTTGTAAGGCAATTAGGGAGTACTATTTCTCTCAAAAAATTCTCCCCAATCTCAAATTTTAAAGTCTAGAATATACTCCGGTAATATTTAAGAGTCATATCTTCCAAAATAAATGTCTACCTTGATTTATAATTTCAAGAAGTAAAGGTATGGAAAAATAAAAAAGGAGTGATTAAAAAATTACCTCTTTCGTCTCCGTTTTCATTTTAGTATTGTGATCACTTTTATTTCAAGAAAGAAGAAAAACTGAAGTAAGAATAAAAAATAGAAAATAGAACTCTCACGTTTTTATTTCCAAAATTGAACTGATAAAGTTCATTTTAAAAAATCCACACCAATCCATTAAAAAAATATCAACATTGTGCATTTTCGGCCATTGTATCACATTGTCAATATAAAAATATTCTACACTTATTTTCAAAATAAAGGGTATGTTTTGGTCCAATTAATGTACATTTCTTTAAAAAAAAAAGTGTTTAAAATTGAACTGAACCATTTTTTACTTTTGGGTAAAAATTTAGAATCAAATTAAACGCCAACAAACTGAACCATTAAACGCCAACAAAGTTAGAATCAAATTAAAAATTCATATCTATACAATTTGACTTACACATCACAAAATACTAAATTCATTATTCTTAAATTGAGTTTTATAAAATTTTAATACGAAAGTACTATTTGGCGTCGATTTTTCAAAAAACCAAACAAAAGATTTAACCATTGGTAAAAGAAAAAAAAAGAATTTAAACATTGGTAAAAGCCGTTGCATAAAAAGTTAATTATTGTAACAAATTGTTCCAAAACCATGTAACATGACCAATAGCCTCATTTAAAATCAACTCAAATATGGGGAGATATATATGCAATGCTACTAGTATGGTTCCCAACTTTTCCTTCATTCAATCTTAATCACCCGCCGGATATTTTCAACAACCTCCCTTCCAATTCCCTCCCCACCACCGGCGCCACCGCTCTGCCGCCGCTCTTCGAGCCTTCCGCGGCTCCATAGCGATGGGGAGGGCTCCACCGGAGTCCGAGCTTCAGATCAACGTCCAGCCCCGTCGCCACCACCACCACCATCCCCCGCCGCCTCCCCCTCCCAGGCCCTACCAGCCTTTCAAGAAATGGTTCCCCTGGCTCGTCCCCTTAATCATCCTCGCCAACATTGCCCTCTTCGCCTACGCAATGTACGTCAATAACTGCCCCCGGAACTCCGACAAATGCTTCGGCGCCTCCTTCCTCGGCCCCTTCGCCTTCCAGAGCCTCCGCGAGAACCCCTTGCTCGGCCCCTCCGCCGACACGTCAGTCGTCTGCATGCCCTCCAATATACACATATCTCAAAAAAGGAGATTAAAATCCTCCAATGTTCTCTAACAAATTATATATCATTTCAGGTTGCGAAAATTGGGGGCTTTGGATGTGGGGAAGGTGGTGGAGGAGCACCAAGTGTGGCGGCTGATGTCCTGTATGTGGCTACACACCGGCGTTTTCCATGTCGCCGCCAATATGGTCAGCCTTCTCTTCGTTGGCATCCGGCTTGAACAAGAATTCGGGTTCGGTATGAAGCTACATACAAGCTTTTCCACCATGACGACTTATGTTTTAGTCCACTTTAATCCTTTAATAACAAAAATTTAAAACGCGCATTTTGACACGGGTTTTATTTGTCACGGATTTGTTGTGCAGTGAAGATTGGTTTGCTGTATACCCTGTCTGGAATTGGGGGGAGCTTAGCATCGGCTCTATTCGTGAGGACGGCGATCTCAGTTGGCGCTTCGGGTGCCCTCTTCGGTTTGCTTGGAGCCATGTTGTCTGAATTGCTCACCAATTGGAGCATTTATGAAAACAAGGCATTTCTTGAAGCTCCAATCCTGTATAAATGAATAATGAATCTCTTGACAAGTACTGAATTCATGGCTCTTTTTTTCTTCAGGTGGCAACACTATTGACACTCATTGTCATCATTCTGATAAATCTAGCTGTGGGAATTCTCCCTCATGTCGACAATTTTGCTCATCTTGGGGGATTCGTCACCGGGTTCCTACTCGGATTCATCCTTCTCATTCGCCCTCAGTTTGGCTACGTTAGCCGGAAAAACGCTCCCCCGGGCTACTTTTTGCCCTCAAGAAAGGCCAAGCACAAGATTTACCAGTGCATTCTCCTCATTCTTGCTTTGATTCTCCTCATTCTAGGGCAAGTGCCTAATCAATTAGTCTACATTGTGTTCTTTAATCAAAGTCAGAACATAAAACATTTTTCTGGATCTACAATTACAAGCTTGAATTTTTGGTTGAGCTGAATAATAGCAATCTTTGCATTGGACAACAGGCTCACAATTGGCATGGTTATGCTACTCCAAGGTGTGGATGGGAATGACCATTGTTCATGGTGCCATTACTTGAGTTGTTTTCCGACCCCTATATGGACTTGCGACGTACGATGCTCGGTACGTCTCACTTTATAATTAAGTTCTCCTTCCTCGTATGTTAGATTTCATCCCGATCGATCGAATAGAAACGAGTTCAATATAATCAACAATACAATGCTGGTCGTTATGATTTTCTTGATGAATTGCAGTCAAAACAAAATGGGGACCAGCTGAACTTGACATGTATGTTGGACAACAAAAGCAGGAATTATTTTTTGTCAAGCTCCAACAGCACTGCCTCGGACATCCAAAAGCTCTGCACTCAACTCTGCAGCTGATTATGTAATATATCCCATTTGTATGTATATATTAGCTTGAAGGGTGGCCTTAATTAATTGTTCATTAGCACTAAATTAAGATCCAATCCACAGCAACATTAACAAGAAAGATAGATAAAATATGTGTGCCCAAAAAAATTGGAAAATGTATATGTTATTTGTATCACTATCCATGAACTCAGCTCTAGTTAAATGATTTTATTACGATCCAGGGTTCTTTTGATTTTGAACCCCAATGTCATATTGTGACATATTGACATTAGGACTATACAATGTTCGGTTAGAGTCGAAAGTGGTTCAATGTCATTTATTATTGGTTTTATTTTCTTGGGTACTCTGGCATATTTATGAATTCATGAGAGAGGAACGCGATAGGCGTATATATATGGATTTAGAGACAATTTTGAAAAAACTTTAAAAATGAAATATGATGAAATACCCCACTTGTTTTGTCTGTATTTACTTGGGGCCTGTTTAGGAATAGCGTTAGAGATTAGCGTTAGCGTTTTAGATAAAATTTTAACGGTGCAGATTAATTTGAAAACGCTAACGCTAACGCTAAACGCTGCCCGTAGATAACTTTTTGAAAACGCTAACGCTAATCTCTAACGCTATTCCCAAAGAGACCCTTACTTTGATTGTCTTCTTCAATGGCCACTATCCCATTTCCCACTTGTAGTTCTTTTATCGGTTTGTAATTGAAAAAAAACAAATAAAAACTCATTTTTCTCAATGTTTTTTTTGTAGATTGCGGTTATAAAAATGTGAAGTGAATTGAATAAGGGAAAAATGAGGGAATATGAGCCTTTGACGTTAGACATTGGTACCATAAAGTATCTTCATAGATTTTACTACTTCTAAAACTTTATTCCGGGATCAGTTTACATAATAAGGTTTATTTAAAATTATTTTCGATTCAATTTATTTGATTTTAGATGTAAAATTTAAAAACATTATATTTTTGAAATATACATCAAAAGTTCTACAAAACAAAGTTGACTTGACTATATTATTTTATCAAATAACTAACGAAAATAGATAAAGAAAGTGATTAAAGTCTGACTATATAAATAGTGTCTGGAAATTTTTTTTAAGGCATATCAAGTAAAAAATTATTTAATTTAAAGGCCCCCGATGGTTTGAAAAAATATGAGGAAAAAGCCCCGGATGATTTGAACAAAAATATGAGGATTTATTTGGGTCACCCATAAATAAATTTTGCAAAATGCAACTAGCAACTACAATTTTTATTAGAGCACTGGAAATAGGTACAACGCCCATAGGCGTTAAGCCTTATTCGACGCACGGATGGCGTTTAACACTGCCTCCTCTACCGTCATCAGGGTGCCAAACACGATACGTTAAAGGTGTGACGCAACGTCCTTGCAAGAAATCCGTTGACCCTTCCCCCAAGAGTCCAAATTATGGCCGTTGGGCATTTTTTTAAAAAAAAATTAATTTTTCTACTATAAATACTCATTTTTTATATAAAATTTACACACACAACATATTCTCATTCTCTCTATAATTTCTTCAAAATATATTATATTTCTTTTAATTTTCTCTACAAAATATTCACAAAATGAGTTATCTTTATATGAAGATTAAAATTCTATTATATCTTCATCTGACGATGAAGTTTGATGCTGCTGGACAAACTTTACCATATTACGTAATTAGGTTTGGGATAAAAAGAAGAGAAAAAAACTAATGTAGGAGTAACATATTAAAAATATATCAAAATAAGAGTTTCATATTTTTATTCCAAAATTCAGAGTCAAAATGCGTATACAGTATCAATTATGACCATATACATTACTAAAAAATATTGTGAAATGTCCATATTCAAGATTACATTATCATAGTACAAATTCCTATTCAGAGATAAAAGGAAAATACTAGGGAAGGTGTACCCCAAATGTCCTCCACCCTCTCATTATCCACAAAAAAAGCAAGAAAATTCAAAAAAAAGTAAATAAAAATCAAATAAAAATGAATGGTTATGGAGGGGGTGTGGAACATTTGGAATACATTTTTGGTATACCCTTAGGATCTCCCGAGATAAAAACATAGAATTATTTTTTTTTGATATTTTCTCTTATTAGAATCCTATTTAGAGTGATTTATTAAATACATTTTCATATAGTAACAATAAAAGTAAAATACCGAGTAATAGGGTCAACCGAAAATATGCCAAGAACCGCCCCATTAAACCGGGTCATACCGCAAAGCAGGTCCGTTCCTGCCCAAGAACAGACTATATAGCCGATTTCGCCCGTTTGGCGTCATTCTCAATCTTCGGTCGACGTCTTCTTCACCACAGAGCAGGTATGTGACTTTGTTTTCCAATATTTTTCATCTGCAGATCCGTTTGTTCAATTCCATACCAATTGATTGATCATAGAAACCGATGCTCGTACAGCTGCTTGAATTTTTTCCTACACTTCTTAATTGGGATTAGGGATTCCGTGATGTTTAGAACTTTAGATCGTTTGATAAGCTGAAGTTAGAATCACTGCGCTCAGTATCTTATCGAATTCGATTGGTTAACGTTTGTGTGATTGGCCTAAACTTTTAATTCATGCGATGGTATTGGAATTGCGGAATTGGTTTAGAATATTGTCAGCGCAGCAATGCAGATCTGTTTTCGGTTTGCATCCATCTGATCTTGGATTTCCTTTGTTTTCTCTCAAATTCAATGTTCCTTGCTTGGTGTGCACAACATCGGCTTATGTTTACGAAACTCCGGAAGTGTTTGAGGGCGTCTTTAAGTAGAACTAGCTAATTTACCCTTTTCTAATGAATTTCCTTCAGGAAAAGTATGGCCTTTATAAATATTTCTTCTTACTTTCACTTTCCATCAATGCTCTGGTGTTCTGCGTCTCTGCAAGGCCAAAGCTACTTCCTTTAAGCTTTCATAGATCTCTTGATGAAGTGGTGGAGGTCCTCTATCTATTTTGGCAGCTTCTTCCACATACCCTGCAGCACAGTCACTTGCTGTAACTGGTTAGTGTCTGCCTCAGAAAGTGACTGGTGGCAGCACTTTAATTGTTTTTAATTACTCCGTATATTTTTAGGGTTCTAAAGCAAACCTGAGAGGAAAATCTGATTGAGTTTCACCCCTTTTCTTTCAGTTTTACATGGGGTTTTGAGGCTTATGCTTCCTGATGTCACATAATATTTTTTTAGAGGAATTTACTTAAATAGCCCTAAAACATAATTACTTTCCCTAAATAGCACCACATATGTTTTTCTTCCCAATGTAGCACTTCTAGTCACTATGCATTAGTCATTATTCAAGCAAATATTCACCATCACTGGACATTATGAACATTATTAAGTGCTATTTAGGGAAAAAAACAGTTTAAGTGTTATTTAGAGAAATGACTTAAGTTTTAGTGCTATTTAGTGCAAATATTTCTTTTTTTATTCCAATGGTTTGGACCAAACACGTGCAATAATAATTTCAGCGGATGGTATATGTTTTTAAAGGACTGGGAAGTGTTTAAGTTTCTAAGTGTCGAGCAAAATCTGAAGATATGGGATGTACAATCAATGGATTTTGATTCTGAATCATTTGATTATGCTGGCTATTGAACAATTTACACCCTTGCTGGTTCAGCCATATTGTGGTTTATTTGCCTACTTGCGTCGATTTTTTGCAAAGTTTCCATGATTCCATTGGAATTTAAATTGAATCTACACTAATGGTGACCAAATGTGCCTCTTGTTACATGTTGCTGTATCAAGATTCATCAATATTTTGTAGATTGAGTAATGACCCTTGTTCCGAAACTACAGTGATTACTGATGGCACGTGGGAAAAGAAAGGCCAGTGCATCATCTTCCAGACTTGTACTAGAAGATGTTGGTGACGCTCCAGCCGATAATGTGGAAACAAGCGACTCCACTCCAACAACAATGGATGCAGAAGAACCTGAATCAGTTTCTGCGGACATTGTTGAAGTGGAGGGTTCAACAGTGGGAAGAATAAGTCTGCAAGAAACAACTCTCTCTTCTTGTAAGAATGAAGAGAATGCAGTTGAAATGGCAGCTGTTTCCATTAACAGAGATGAAGTGGAGACAGTCATAGAAGAAACGGTAAACGAACCTAATGTCACTACAGAACCGGTAACAGAACCTAATGGAGAGAATGTTTCTGAATTTGCATTGAATGGTGGTGCAAATGCCCTTAATGAAGTAGTTAGTGGTGAGGATGCAACTAAAATGGTAACAGACAATGTAGAAGATATCTTACAGGAAGAAGATAGAGCTGCAGATTTTAATAGAGGATCTGCAAATGAAGAGGACACTGAAGGCCTTCGCGAAGCTTCTAATCACGATGATGATCTATCAAAGGATGGACGTGTTGCAGGACAAAAGGATGAAGAGATTACTGAAGAAACGATTAAAGAGAAAATAGAAACAAGGCAGGTGCTTCTTAAGTCCAGAAAAAGAAAGAGAGGGAAGAAGGGGGCAATAGGCTCCTTTAAAAAACTGGCTTTTGATGGTAAAAATAAGAAAGTTCACTCTAATGGTGATATGGGTGGAGAAAATGGCGACAGCACTCTAGAAGATGTGATGGAACAAGATAAGGGTAATGAAAATACTGAAGAAAAGAAGGTTGAAGTAAGGGATAAGAAGTCTAAGAAAAGAAAAAAGGGGGGGAAAGGGAATACACCTGCAAAAAGTGTGTTAGAAAACGTTTCATCTGAAGCTAGAAGTGAACAAATTTCAAATGGTGTAACTAAGCAGCCTCGTAAGGCAGGGTTGAAACATGAAGATGGTCTGAAGAAAGGAGTCCCTGAAGGTAAATCCGTGGGTGACTCCCAAGACGTGCCAGAGTCATCCGGTAGGAAGAAGCCATCAGGGAAGGTCGAGGGAATGGGGTTGATTTTTATGTGCAACTCAGAAACAAAAAAGGATTGCTATAAGTATAATATTCTAGGTTTGCCTTCTAGCAAAAGAGAAGTAGTTGAAAATATTTACAAAGGAATGAGGCTATTTTTGTATGATGTCGATTTGAAACTAATGTATGGTATCTATAAAGCTGCTGCACGTGGTGGGTTCAACGTTGAACCGAAGGCTTTCAAGTCTAAGTTCCCATCTCAGGTTAGTATCTGTTCATAGTTTTGGAGTCTGTAGGTTATCTATATTGTGTGATGTTGTGAAATCTTCTTTGACAGTGTAGAACATGGTATTAGTACAAGTGAGGTAATTTTCCACTTATGTTTGATTGTTTGTGGTAATAAGGTCAAAGGATTAGATCTCATGCATAATTGCATTACTGTTTTTTGTCTGTGATGAACTAATTGTATGGTGATCTAGTGAATGGTCATTTGATGAAAGGTTTGCATTGCACTGTGTTTACTTGATGAGTTAGATGTAGCTGATCATTTTCTTAAAAGCAAAGGTCGAATAATATTCGTCTTTCACGTGTGCTATTGCTACCTGGCAAATAATTCAGGTCAGGTTTCGTATTCTTGAAGATTGCAATCCTTTGGCTGAAGAGAAGTTTAAGAATGTTATAAAAAAGAACTATTACACAAAGAACAAGTTTCGCTGTGAATTGACCACTGATCAGGTAAAGTGTTAAACTCTTTGATAACCAATCATTCATATGTTAATGCATTCTCAATTAATCTGGGTGTCATTCGACACAGGTCAAGGACTTGTGCAAGCTCTTTAGAGCTGGCCGCGGAAGTTCCAATCCCCAAAAGACAAAGAGACCCCTCAAGAAAGAGAGCAGTAAAGTTGTTGACCGAAACAAAACTAGAAAACATGGGGTTGACAGACCCACACGCCCCAAAGCAGAGAGAAGGGAGGACCGTGTGGAAAAAGACCGAGTCATCAGCAAAAACAGGGTTGACCAAAACAGGAGGCTGTCTCCTGTGAGGGAGAATACATACCGTGACTATCCTCGTCATTATGAAACAGACCACATTCATCCTTTCTCACGCATTCCAGAAGCTCATGGGTCCCATCAACTTGTGCGACCACTTCCTTCTTCATCTGCTCATCCATATGCATACGACAGGCCTTTGGAAACGGATGCTTACAGAAGAGTGCCATTAGCAGTGGGTGATGATCCTTATAGACATAATGTGATCACCCATGACCGTCGGCATTATGATGATCCCTATAGACCCGATAGGATCACCCATGATCGTCGGCATTATGATGATCTGGACCATAAGTCTCCTTACAGGGAGGACGACCCTGGGGCAGTCTACCGACGTGGGCTCACAAACTATATTCCTCGTGGTCATCCTTCATACCTTGCTGGCCTTTCTGTTCACAGAGGTGATTATTCCCCACCAGACGAGTACTATTCCTCGTCTCGAGCTATTGAGAGCCGCTCTGCAGTGGCCCCAAATCCAGAGTACCGCCCCGCCACTTCTTCAAGGGCAGTGCCTGAATACCGTTCGGGTGGGTTCCACCCTCAGTATTGGTCATCCGCGGGCATGCACGGATACCCCTATTAGTTTTCATCTTATATATGGACTTGTAATTTTTAAAGAGCTGTAACCATATTTCTGACTGATCATTTGTATTTGAACGTACGGAGTATAAGCTACACAACTATTTCGTTTATGGGCATTGGGGTGTGGTGTGGTCAGTTATGGTTCCTGTTTTACAAAACGGGCATTAATGCAAGGACCTTCTCTATGTTCTTGAGGACATATTCATTCCAACTTCAATGTTTTGAAATAGTTATTTAATAACAGTGTTTATTTAAATGTTTTCTAAGTTAATCTATGTTTATTTTAAAAATTTCTAAAATGTTGACGCTAATTGTAATAATGTTCCCAAACAAGGCGTAGATTTGTATTTCTTCATAGTTCATGTTACTTTAATGATTTAATACCCACAATGAGGTACTAACTCCGTCCCATTTTATTTTTCAAATCATTTTATGTGACAAATTGTATAAAATTTAAAAATATAAATTACATATTAAAAAACTACATCAAAAGATCTACAAAACTAGTAGTGATAATAATATTTTATTTTATCAAATTGCTAACGAAAATAAAGAAAGCTTCTTGGATATGAGTAAAAAGTATAAAAATATCAAAATATGAGTCTTATGTATTTTAAAACCAAAATAAGAGTATAATGACATTGCGGTGTAAAACTACACATTGATAGTCTAATAAAAAAGTGATGACAATGTAATATGTTAGTGTGATCAGTCAATTGTCAGCTATTCGCGGGGGCATTTTGGTGGCTGATAGCGACGAATGACAATGTGACAATGATAATGTAGCAGTCACAATGTGACAATGTTTTGAGTGCGACAGTGTAACAATGACAGTATGAACTCCTATTTTGGTCTTAAAAGATTTAAGACTCTTATTTTGATATTTTCATAGTTTTTTATTCCTATCCAATGAGTTCTCCTTATTCTAATTGTATCCTAAATGGCCAGGTATTCACAGACACACACAGACTCTTCATGTCTGTGTCCATATGTGTGCATGTACAGACATGAAAAGTGCATATATTTCTTTAAATGATTAGGGTACAAATGAAATATCCTATTTTAGAGTACATTACTTTAATTACAACTAACGTGCCCCAATTCATCCATGTCATACTACTTCAAACAAGGCCGAGCCCAAATGGATCAAAACCAAACTATAAACGGATTGGCCAACTAAGCTACCAAGATCAAGTACCGCGTACCGGTCCGCTACAAAATGGCATTACATTAATGTTCGGAGTAAAATGTTTTTTTTTGTTTTGTTGAGAGTTGCCGACACCAAACATGAATATATAGTAAGATATATGCTCAAGGGATCAAGTGATGAACTTGCATGTACTAAAACATAGTGAACATTAATGTAAGGCCCAGTCACAAAAGTAAAATGCTCCAATACTACTTTTATAAGTTTATTTCAAATAAGAGTAAATTCCTAATATGTCCCTTTAATTTTTTTTTGTTTTAAATAAAACTATTTTATATTTTTTGTGACTTCGTATAAAAAAGTAAAATAAAAAATAGAACAGAAGAGTTTACTTAAATACAGAGTATTAAATAAAAATAAGAGTTTTAAAATTAATTTTTTTTGTGTATTTAATTGTTATAATAAAAAAATTAAAAAAATTTATAATTCATCCAAAATGAGGAAAAAATTAATAACGAAATAAATTAGATTAACCCGAAAATACATTTTAATTACTTTATATTATTATTTATAAAATATGGAATTTAATTTGAATAAAAATCGGTAAATGCTTAAACAAAAATGTGATTATTGAAGTGGACGTGAGACACGAAGTGAGTGTAATCATTCAACCCGATTCTTTTCTTCAATTTACCATCATCTAAACATTATATCCTCATTCACCACGTGTTATTGTTATCTTATAACAACAATTTGTCTTTTCCCATAAAATATACTCCCTCCCTCGCGCAAAAAAGTTTTTATTTTGAATAGTATTTAGTCAAATATTTACATGTTTTGACTACAAATTGTGAGAAAGATATATTGAATTATAAAATAAATTTAATATAATTGAATTCATCTTAGGATCTAGTTTTGATATCTCAAATTTTTTTAGCATTTCTTTATTTAGATTATATTTAATTTATGGTCAAATCGTGTAACTATTTGACCAAAAATACATCAAAATGAGAACTTTTTTGTGGGACGGGGAGAGTAATACTTTTCATTAAAAAGTCTAATTATGTTTAATTTTTACCTTCATTGATTCTTACCGAACATATATATTTACTACTAATACATCCATCAGATCCGCCTTCAACCATTACATTCATCTTTTACTCATCACATCAAAGAATAAAATTGGAATGCCCATTACAAAATACCCTCTTCTTAGGTTTATCCAAAATTAAAATTCATTTTTTTAAACAAAGGAGGTATATATACCTAATGCTCCATCCGTCTAAAAAAGACTCCTTAGGCTGCATTCCATTCCCTTGATCTGATCTGATTTTTTGAAGTTCTGATCTGATCTAATGTGATCAGATTGGATCTGATCTGATCTGATGAGATCTGATTTTATCTGATTGGATCTAATCTGATGTGATCAGATTGGATCTGATCTAGTCGTATCTGATCTGGTATGATCGGATCTGATCTTAAATGCATTTGATTATAATTAAAATTAAAATTTTTATTATAATAGTTATAATATTAATAATAATAATAATAGAAATAATAAACTACAATAATAATAGAAATAATAAGAATAGTAATAATAATAACTATAATAATAATAGAAATAATAATAATAATAGTAATAATAATAATAAATATAATATTAATAATACTAATTGATGGATACCCGGGAATGGGGGTATCCAGCCCAATAGAAAGACGGTCCAGCCCAACTTCGCTAAGGCCCACTTGGCGAGACCAAAGCAAGAATGAACAAAGGACCATGGAAGACCACCCCGGCAGCGATACGCGCTCAGCCCCGGTAGGGTCGGTCATCCTCGGACTACCCCTGGCCGGCCTTCCGCCAGGAGACTTCCGAAGACAATAGTCCCTTGATGTTCAATCAACCCATGACCGACTTCCACATGCCGGTCACGATGTCGCAGCCGACGTTCCAACCCGAAGGACGTTGTGAAGTCCAGCAGAACGTGGTGGAAAGCGCAAAGCTTTTCGCCCAACATCTGAAGAACCTGATGACGGACTCCCGCGTGAACCCTTCGGCGGGAGGACCCGAGAATAAGGAGTTGAGCCACTCCCAGCAGCGGGATAACGGCAAGGACCTGGAGCGTAGGGCCAACAAGAGGCAAGCTAGCCGTCGAGACAAGGATGCGGCGAGTAAGCGCCATGAACCCCTGAAGGAAGGATAAGGCGAGAGTGAGTCGCACGTGTCTGTGTTCAGCCGGATGCGAGTGCCGATCACGGGACGGTTGCATGCCCGACACAGAAAAGTTCAACCGGAAAGGCCGAGTTCCCGGATCGAGCAGCCCATCCAGCATCCGATCCTAAGAGTGCCGCAGAGGACGCCCGGCGCGGTGGATGGGGGCGCAGGCAGGTCGGGTGATAAGCGCCTCGATTGTCTCTTGCAAAGGCTTGACGCCTTAGAAAAAAGAAGCGGGCCGGGGCATGTGGCCGAACCTATGTTCAGACTCCGTTCTTCCTTCTCGGAGAGGATTCTGAGGGCACCTTTTCCGAACAGCTTCCAGATGCCACCGATACTGAGGTATGACGGAACTGCCGACCCGCAGGAGCATTTCAACCGATACCAAACCCTCATGAACGTGGTGACGTTCTCTGAGGAGGTCCTTTGCAGATCTTTCCCCGCCACTCTCGACGGGTTGGCGTGTGAGTGATTCAATGAACTGCCTGAGGGGAAGATCGATTCTTGGGAAGATTTGGCGCGGAGGTTCCTAGTGCACTTCGCCAGCAACAGGAAGAAGAAGCTGCATTTCTCGCATCTCCTGTCGGTCAGGCAGAGGCAGGACGAGCCGTTGAGGGAATTCCTGGCGAGGTGGAAGCTGGAAACCACCAGAGTTTACGGGGCAGATGACAAAACCAGGTTGTCCACCTTTCATCTGGTCCTACGATCAGGTGACTTCTCCAAGCGCTTGGCCTTGGAGAAGCCAAGGGAGTATGCCATCGCGTTGGCCATGGCAGAGGATGAGGCCGAAGTAGAAGAGTTGGAGGCAATTCAAACAAGAAGAAGGAAGAGGCAGGAAGGCTGGGGCCCATTTTGACGGCGGCAAAGCCTACGGCAAGGAAGGTCACTATTGATGAGCGGTCGCACTTGCCAGCCGGACACCGTTTTCGAAAGGGCAGAGATCCACGCGATCAGCAGTCTTTCGGGAAAGACGTGTACGAAGAAGGGGCCGAGGATAGAAAACCCTATCCCCCCAGGGGTCCTAAGCTGTCATTTCCGGATGAGCTTACACCCCTTACACACCCCGTCAGCGCCATCCTAGATTTTGCCGAGCATTAAGGCTTGGTGGAATATGACCCGAGATTCCCCTCGATTTGCACTGTCGGTGAGGGTCCTTATTGCAGGTTTCACAGAGCAGCTGGCCATGACACGGACACTTGTAAGGTCCTCAAGAGGGAGATCGAGAACTTGATCCAGGCCGGGTACCTGAGGCAGTTCGTCAAAAAGAAGAACACCTGGCGCAAGGACGATGGAAAGAAAATCGGGGATAACCGAGGGAAGAAACCAGCGGGGACCCAGCTGAAGAAGAGGAAGGAGATAGGCCTTCCGAGTGATGAGGAAGAAGAAAATAACCCTAGACAGAAGAGGGTTGAAGAGAGCCGAATGATCTACGGCGGTAAAACTGCCTTATTTCCTTTTTTGTAACGCCCAAAAAAACCTCATATTCTTTCTTGGAAAACTTTGAGTGGCTCAAAATCAATATAATCTTTCCTATGTGCATCACTTTTAACCACACATTTTTACACTCGAAGTGTATACTCCGTATAAAAATCACGAACTTTCTCACATAAATTAAATAGTAGTCGTAAATTACCCCTTGGTTCCCATAAATTGGAAACCAATATCATGGGATGACCCGGGGTGCTCCAGTACCCCATTTGTAAAATTGACAGTTTCTACCTCCCTAACCCCCGGTAAACCCCCCCCACCCCACCCCGACCTGAACACGCCCCCCACCCCTTCAATTGTTCCCCCCCACGTTAATTTTGACTTTGGAGTTTGACTCTAAAGTCATAACTTAGGGGTGCAATTGAAGGGGGTTGGGGGCTTGTTCGGGTCCGGGCGGGGTGGCGGGTCTACTGAAGGCGGGTCTACAAGGTCATCCCATGACATTGTCAGGATGTGTCATGGGAACCTTCGTGTTCTATTATATATGATATAAAGTACACACACACACATAATTTGGTTCAAATGAGAATGATGCACAGTGAAATAAATGAGAATGTATACGATCCATAAGATTTAAGATCTAAGGACTATTAAAAATAAAAAAATGAGAAAATTGTAGTGGTAATTGTGTAAATAAATCAAATTTTTCCGCTAGTTCTGAAAATGCAACTACACTACAAGTTCAAAATGGATTGTGGTGGCCCCAAAACACATCATTCTCACGATAAGGTCTATTCTCGCAATAAGGTCCATTCCCACCTGAACTGCACCCCATATATATAATTTTTTTAGTAAAACTGTTGAAGACCACGAGCCGTTGGGTATGGATTTCCAAACGTGTAATTGAGTTAAACAGGCCACAAGATGTTGGGTACATACTCCGTACGGATAACTGGGCTAAAGACTAACGGGCCGCTAGAAATGAACGTCTAGACGGACACTTTAACATACAAGGTTGTCCAAAACCTGCTCCGATACCATGTTAAAATTCCGGTGGGTCGAGAACAACGAATAGAGTATCGGGTAAAATTAGTCACTCGCATGTAAAGTCGAGACCCGTAATTTAAACCCAAAAGCCTAAGCTTATAGGGAGGGCTTCACCCTTTTATATACTCCCTCCGTCTCCTAAGATGTTCTCATTTTGACTTTTGATGATTTTTAAGAAGAGTTGAAAAAAGGTGAAAGTTTACCATAATATCCTTAATGAAAATTGGTGGAGTGTATTAAATGAGGTGGGTGAGATGTAATAAATAAAGTAAGTGGGGGTAGTTGTGGTATTTTAATTGTTAAAAAATGAAATGAGAAGATCTATTGTGGACAAAGAAAAAGGGCTATTGGAAAAATATATGGGAGACGGAGGGAGTATGTTAGTAGTATTTATTTTTATTTTTCCGATGTCGAAACTCCACAAGAAACACTTTATTTTATTAATATATTTTATTGAAATTTGTAAAGTTAAATTATGAATCTTTTTTTCCCAAAAAAAAGTGATAAAAGAAGAATTTAAATCTTATGAGAGAAAATTCACCACAGGACAACAAAGAGTACGCATGTACGTACGTACGTTTAGTTACCATTTAGTAATTAGCTAAAGCCTAGTGGCTAATGGCTAATGAGGGAGACATGCACGAAATTAAAAGATAAGCATAATTAATCTCATGTATTGACTAATATAATTTGGCTGGAGAAATGTGTTGCTCTACAATACATACATCCTACTTCTTTAAGATATTGTCACAGTTTAACATTTTTGTCAAACTATGACAATCTTTGACTGTGAATTCTAGAAAATTATATTTAGTAACTTTGGTTATAATGTAAATTTAGTAAAATTGAATTTATTTTAAAATATAGTTTCGAAATATCAAATTTTTATAATATTTTATTATTTTAAATTATATTTAATTTATGGTCAAATGATGAAAAACGATGCCATAATTTTTTGGGGGTGAGGGAGTATGCTTAATTAGCTATTGGTGTGGTTGCCATATAGTGTGTGACTCCTCACTACCCGAAAAGGCGTTCAATTACGAATTGTGTGCGGCAAGGAAAACTTTAGTGGGCACACGACATGGACAGTATAAGACCATGTTTGGGAACGATGCATTGTTTTCTAGTCAACGTTTTAAATGATTAACATTAAAAAATATTACCTCCGTTCCTCAAACGAGTTCCTCTTTTAACTTTGGGGGAAAATAAGAAAGTGTTAAATTGTAGTTGACTTTCGAATTTTGCCCTTGATTTGATGGGTAAAAGTAAGATGTGATAATTTAGTTATTAGTGAAAAAGTATGATGTGATAGGTAGGGTATGAAAAAGTAGGAGTAAAAGTGGTTTTTTAATAAAAAGGGAAAGTGTTTTAAGAAAAACAAAAAAAATGAAAGAGAATGGGTTTTAAGAAACGGAGGGAGTAATAAAGTAAAATATTACTCCCTCCGTCCCCCTAAGATGTTCTCATTTTAACTTTTGGTTATTTGTAAGGAGAGTTGAAAAAAGGTGAAAGTTTAGCATAATAACCTTAATGAAAAATGGGTGGAGTGTATTAAATGAGGTGGGTGAGATGTAATAAATAAAGTAAGTGGGGGTAGTTGTGGTATTTTAATTGTTAAAAAATGAAATGAGAAGATCTATTGTGGACAAAGAAAAAGGGCTATTGGGAAGATTTATGGGGGACGGAGGGAGTATTATTATTATTAGATAAATAATGTTAAAGTCACAAACAGTTTGGATACAAACTACACAAACCTACCATTTGTGTATGTAAGCCTCATCTTCGGCATAAAATTGCTCTCTTAAAACCCGCTACGTTGTCTGCATCCTTCGCATTGGCTCGCGAGTTCGAGGCCAAACATGATATGTGCTATTGTCACTTTCTCGACGTCTATACTCCTGGCCTTCTCTACAACCACCTTGACCAATGTCGTTGGGGGGATGTCAAACCGAGCAAGACAGTTCCACGACACCACAACCCCACTTGGGCGGAACAATTGGGACGGAGATTAGGGCGCTCGAAGTTCCTCCCTATCCGATACGTTTTATGTATCAATTTAAAGTTGTTTCTGATCTGAACTGAACGGATTTCAATAAAATAAGTGATACTCCCTCTGTCCGGAAATATTCTTCCCACTATCCTTTTTGGTCCGTCCGAAAATATTCTTCACATTTCCTTTTATACCATACTATTTAAGGATAAATATCAATAATATCCTTTTATTTTATCATAAATCTACTTTTTTGTACTTTTTAATAATAAAAGGAGATTTAAAAGTTTATAGTATGTGCATTTTTAAAAATTTTGTATTTTTTTACTATTCTTTAATAAGCGTGCCAAGTCAACACGGGAAGAATATTTCCAGACGAAAGGAGTATGTGATAAGAATAAGTCATAGAGAACATGCTTTTAGTGTAGAAAAAATTCTTCACCAGAGAGTAAAATTTTTTATATCTTTCCTTCACTAGAGAGAAAAATATTGAGGAATTTACTTAAATAGCAATAAAACATAATGATTTTCCCTAAATAGCACTACATGTATTTTTCTTCTCAATGTAGCACTTTTAGTCATTATGCATTAGTCATTATTCAAGTTAATATTCGCCATCACAGGACATTATGGACATTATTAAGTGTTATTTAGGGAATAAAACAATTTAAGTACTATTTAGGGAAATGACTTAAGTTTTTGTGCTATTTAGTGCACATTTGTTGTTTTGTAGAAACTTTTGATATATACTTTTTAAGTATGCAAATTAATTTTTTATTTCTATGTCAATCTTCAAATAAAACAAATTGAATATTTGGGATTTTACTTCGTTTGGGATAAAGTGTAATTCATTAAGGGATGAAAAGATTATTTTTATTTCTATCTTTAAATAAAGTAAATTGAAAAAAAAATTGAAATTTACTTCAATTTTAAATAATGAAACCAACATTTTGGGACGGATGTAATATAAGAAATCAATAAAATTATGTGGTTCAATCTAATTTGAAAATAGTGGAACCAACACCTCGGGTTCCCCAACATATAGGTTAGGGATAAATCACGGTATGTGTAATCTTATTTTGATCCTTTGAGTAGTTTTTTTTTATGTCATGCGCACAAAAAAACTATTACATTGAATAAAACTTCATACTGTCCCAACCAGAAATCAAATTTGAAACATCATACATACTCTGTAACACTCTTTTCAGACAAAATATGATAGATGTCTCTGTACTATGTAAAAATGTTCAAATTAGCCCATGTACATAAAATTGATCTGTAGTATTTATTTTTGTTCATTCACTTCTTTTCACTTGACTCTTATATATTGTCTCAATTTTTTTAATAATGATGTCAAATTTTACTATAGATGACATGAAAATATTGTTTAACATAATAAATCATATATTTAATCTAATTTTAGTCATTATATAATAAACAATTTTATCTCTATTTTTCATAAAAGAAAATAATAAATTTAGTAAAAAAAGTTTTTTAAAAAATAAGTATGAATTAACATGTAAATATAATAGTTTCATGTCATCCATAACAAAATTTGACATCATCATTTAAAATTTGGGACAATAGATAGTAGACAAGTAAAGACAAGGAATTGATTGAACAAAAATAAATAATATTCCGTACATGAATCAAATTCATTCGATTTTGTGAGAGAAACTAAGGTCATTTTCTGCTCAACTTATTTTTTATATTTATACCTTATTTTTATTATAATCAAATCAGACTAAATCAGATTAGATAAGATTAGAACTTATTCTAATCAGATCAAAGCTTATTCTAATCAGATCAAAACTTTTTCTAATCAAATCAGAAGTTAGTGGTGCGGATAAGATTTAATCTAATCTAGAAACTGAAGGAAGGATGTTGGTATGAACACAAAAAAAAAAGGAGTGACGACTGACGAGAGGAAAACAGACGAAAAAGGTACGGAGTAATTTGCGGAGATTAGTTAAGAGTACACACCACCCACGGGCTATTACGGTGTGGTACAACTAATAATTCCACATTCCGTTATTAGCCGCCGCCATATTTATACTCTCACTTTGTCCTCTTCAATTTAGAGGCTGTTGGAAATGATTAATTTGTTAAAAAACTGATTTTCACAAAAAATTGAAAGTCAAAGTACTTCATATCAGCTTCTCCAAAATAGTGTTTGCTGACATGTCAAACAAAGTAAAATCATTGCCACTTAAAGCAGAAATTAAATTATTAAAAACAGTGCACTGTCAAATACCCTCTTAAATTTTGCTTAAAAACGACATTAATATGTCATTGTAAATCTTTTGAAAATAATATATTACGGCTGTACTTATTAATTAAAGTATTTTCAAAATTAATCCACATAATTATAATATAACCTAAAATGACAATGATAATTGAAGATATTATTTTCAAACAAGATCTTATTCTAATTACTCATGGGATAAGGGATACACTGTCTTAATATATTACTCCCTCCGTCCCAGAAAGAATGCCACGTTTACTATTCTGGTCTCTCGATAACTTTTGTTTGTTTACTCGTTTTGGTTGACCATTTGATAAAATAAAATATTCTTATCGCATCTTGTTTTGTAGAGCTTTTCATATACTTTTGAATGATGTAATTTTTACTTTTTATTACTCTACCAATATGAAATTAAAGTAATTTTTAAAAAGATTGATATTTTGCACTTCGTTCGAAGTGTTGCAAATAAATTGGGACAGAGGGAGTAAGAATAAATTTATTAAGAGAGTACAATTTAAGGACAGGAGAGTAATTTTTTATTTATTTTTCTTTCTTGTTTTGTATTTTGGAAAAAAAACTTTTTAATGAATGTATCATTATAATCATACTTTTTCTCTAAACTATTTATTTTATTCCATCACATTAAGGGTAACAGATGAAAAATCTTTACATTTTTTTACTTTTCTTAATTTCTTTACCAAGTCAAAGAATGAAAGAAATTTCCACACAAAGTAAATAAAAGAACGATGAACCTCATCTCAAGAAACCTCTCAGAACCGATCATACGATCACTTGAAAAGTTTTTTTGTGTATTTTGGGCCTGTTTGAGAATAGCGATAGAGATTAGCTTTAGCGTTTTGAAAAGGCTATCTACGACCAGCGTTTAGCATTTTCAAAGTAAATCTACACTGTTAAAATCTTATCCAAAACGCTAACGCTAATCTCTAACACTATTTCCAAAGAGACCCTTTTTATACTATAAGTTGTGTCATGTGTTTTTGCCACTCCCCCTCCACAAATTCCTCAATAAATACTCTTCTTGCCCTGACATTTTTTTCTCATCTCATTATACTCTTTCTATACCATCTCTTTCAAATTTTAGAAAACAAAATTAAAAAATGGGCGTTTTCGGCGGAGCCTACGTTTCCCTTCTCATCTTTTCCACGCTGTTACTAGCGGCGGAGCCTAAAATCCCAGGCGTATACACCGGCGGCGCGTGGCAGACCGCTCACGCCACCTTCTACGGAGGCAGCGACGCGTCCGGCACCATGGGCGGCGCGTGCGGGTACGGAAACCTCTACAGCCAAGGCTACGGGGCGAGCAACGGAGCTCTGAGCACAGCCCTGTTCAACAATGGCCTCAGTTGTGGGGCCTGCTTCGAGCTCAAGTGTGACGGCGACAAGTCTTGCTTTCCCGGCAGCCCGTCCATCGTCATCACCGCCACCAATTTCTGCCCTCCCAATTTTGCCCTGCCCAACGACAATGGCGGCTGGTGCAACCCGCCCCGCGCCCATTTCGACCTCTCCATGCCCATGTTTCTCAAGATCGCCGAGTACCGTGCCGGAATCGTTCCCGTCAAATACCGCCGGTGAGGTTCTTTCTTTTTTCCGTACATTGCCTGCGAATTGTTGGACTGAATAGTAAAGTAGGCTTTGCCTAACAAAACCAGTTGAAAACTTAAAAATTGTTAAAATTTACTTAAAAATATGGATTAAGCTATTTATGGATTAAACCCATATTTTTTACTAGCGTGGTGTTAGTATGCTGATTTACATTATCAAAAAGTATTGGTTCAAATTTTCTAATTTGAACTAACATTTTCTGCTTATATGAATCATTAAAATGTAAATGCATTTTGGTAAGATACACCTTGGGGAGTTGGGGTACATGTTTAAAATATAGCTTAAAATATCAAAGACCTTATATTTTTTACTAAGGGCCCACACAAGCCTCTATGATCTAGAGAGGGAGTATATAGATTTAAAGTTTAAAAGAAAGAGTTTAAATATGAAGTACTTTAATTACGAGTATAAAACAAGAGGCGACATGCATTGAATTTTGAAAGTAACGAAACTAAAGACATTTTTCTTCAATTTATTTTTATTACTTATTATTTTTTTATTGAAATCAGTTCAGATCAGAAACAACTTTGAATACAACTAAATTTAAATCAGATTAAATCAGAATTTATTCTAAAGAGATTAAAACCATTGAGATGAAATGAGGAGAGTATGATCCAAATTGATAAATTTTGGCCGTATGATTAGTAGTGGTGAATACAATTTCGAGATGAAGAGAGTAATGAGTAAGTCTATTAAAATAAGATTTATAATGTCAAAAAAATAATGCCACACAACATACCAAATTGCCGAGTTTACATACATATGTCTAAATATATTCCTCTAAAAAGAATGTCCAAATAAGAAATATGTGGGTGAAATTACTGAACCACCCATGGGATTTTATTGTGTATGGGGAACGCGCGCGCAGGGTAGCGTGCAGGAGGGGAGGAGGAATCCGGTTCACGATGAACGGCCACCGTTACTTCAACATGGTTCTGGTCACCAACGTGGGCGGGGCGGGGGACATCGTGAGGGCGAGCGTGAAGGGGTCGGAGACGGCGGGTTGGATAGAGCTGAGCCGGAACTGGGGGCAGAACTGGCAAACGAGCGCCCTCTTGACCGGCCAGTCCCTCTCCTTCCGCGTCAAAGGCAGCGACGGCCGCTCCTCCACCTCCTGGAACGTCGCCCCCGCCACCTGGCAGTTCGGCCAAACCTTCGTCGGCAAAAACTTCCGCGTCTGACTGAATGAATGAATGCCCCCCATTAACGTTAATATATACTCCCTCCGTCCTAAAATTAACTCTCATTTGACTTTTTATAGTCTGTAATGAGGCACTTTGACCATTAATATCCTCATTTTTATATGAATACTCCTATATATTATCAAAATAATATATTTCAAAACTATGTTTCAAAATGAATCTATTGATACTAAATTTATATGAAAATTCAATATATTTTTTCCGTAATATGACTGCAAAAATTAAAATGAGAAATTAATTTTAGGATGGAGGGAGTATTACTCTGTTTTTTTTTTTTGGTTTTTAAAAATGTCATGTTTGGGGTGAAGTTTGAGTGGTGGGAAAGGGGTTTGGGTACCCTGTGTTTGGTTGGGTGGGTGTGGGTACTTTTATATATATATAAAAATGAGTGGTGTAAATGTAAGGAGGAGAAGCTGAAGTGACTGCACGCACAAAGGTTATTTGGAATGTAGCAGCCCGCAGCTTCTCTTCATATAAAAGGAGGGAGTAAGATTGTAAGAATTACAAGTATTTATACATAGTCATGGTGTGTTTGGGAGTGCTATTTTTCGTATAACAATGAACTTCTGAGTTACTATTACGTCTTCTCGATAATTTATGTTTGTTTGCATAATTTCATTAATCGTTCATTTCATAAGACAACATATTGTTCGGAACGTGTGATTAATGTATTCTCAAATCTTGCTCAGAGAGATTGTTGGTACAACACATTTAAAAGTTTAGGGGGCATTGGTGCAATTTTTGAAAAATTCATTGATAAATGGCGCAAGAAACTCCTTTTAAATGTTTGTAAACCAAGAAGTTATTGTCTATAAAATATGGAGTAGTTGAATAGAAAATGATTGTTTTACCTCACAAGGAGTGCTTAACATGCCCACATGGCACCATGGTTTTAGGAGGGACATATATGAAGTAAGGCTCAAGAAATGATTTCTCGCGACGTTTAGTGTGGAAGAGATGTTTTGAGATCATTTCGACAATTAACTCTTTGCGTGTCTGTGTCGCTGATTTTCTCTTTTAACGAACTACTAGGTTCCTAATTTACCTTCCTCTATATACCTTGTCGGGTCAAAATTGTGATAGAGACAATATACAATTAAGCCTTCTTTTAACTCCTACTTAAGGAGATTTTTTTTAGATTAAAATATATATTTTTGATAATCAAATAAAAAAATTTATAAAAACTGAGTTGTCATAATTATATTATTTTATCAATTAAAATATGTAGAATTAGATCTTGAATTTAATTTAAGGAGTAAAACAACACCAAGTAAATGTAAAGAATTTTATAAGATAGTACTCTATCCATCCCATAAAGAGTTTTTACTATTTAAAAATTATAGGAAATTTTTTTCCCATACTTTTATTAATTATTTGATAAAAATAATATTATTGTCACCATTTGTTGTAAAACAATTTCACGTAATTTTAAATATCTAAATTTTATATTTTATTTTAAAATAATTTTTGTATAAAAAAAGAAAAAAAAATAAAATTTGGCATTTAAGGCGACACACATTTTGGAAAAAGATTATGCTACATGTACCCCAAAATTTGTACTTCATTTGTACACTAAAGGTATGCACCAACTTTTTGATATTTACAATGACACAAAGCGTTGGTACGTTAACAAAAATTAGTATTACACCAACACAAAATATTGATACATCACTACAGTGTATAAAATGAGGTACAAATTCTTAGGGTATAAATAACTTTATACTTTGGAAAAAGAGTACTGCTGTAGTATAAATATTCGCGTGCCCCTTGCATTTTTGACTTCTTTTTTCAGTGGGTTTAATTTTGACAAATTAGCATTGATAGGGGGGCCCGCTGGTTTTCTTTATGCGCAACGAGTCAACTTCCGTCAATTCACAAGACAAGAAAACGGTAAAGTTGCGGCAGGCTTTGGATACCGATTTGGATGCCATTTCTTGTTTTGATAAAGAACATTTTGAAGTTTTTATATACTCCGGTATTTCATATACCGTTTCTAATTAAATGTAGTTTTTTATATTTTTTAGAGTAGTCTTTTCTAATAATGTTTTTTTCCCAAAAAAATACTCAATGATCAAAAATTACTAACATGACCCTTTATAGTTGAGATATGTTTTCTAAATACTTTTTTATTAAAAATGTCTATTAAATGATAATTAAATAAGGATATTAAAGATATTTTGATGCTCTTTAGTATCTAAACTATGAATTCCTCAAAATGTTTTTTTTAAATTAAGTGGGAGGCTACTAATAAATAATAATTACTAACGTTGTCCTTTACAACTTAAAAATACTCCTTTATAATTAAGTATTTTTTCAAATTGATAATTTTTAAATAAACAATTTTTGAAATGGAGTTCATGAGCCAACTCGGGGTGGGTCCCTTCTTCTAGTAGCTTATCACTTAATTTAAAAAAAAATCATTTTGAAAATCTATTCATAATTTAACTATTATTTAATAGATATTTTTAATAAAAGACTATTTAGGAAACACGTATCAATTGTAAAAGACCACGTTAGTAATTTTTCCTTATAGAGGATTACTTTGGAAAAAAATCTTATAAGAAAGGATCATTCTGAAAATTCACTCAAAATACTTTTTCATATTTGGTGAAAAGGACTATTTGTAGAATAATTTTCAAAAATTAAAGCTTGTATGAAATATCTTATAATTGGGGACCAAATTTGAAAAATTACATATAACTGGGGACCATTTATAAAATTGACTCTTTTTGTTAAAGAACGTTAACATATACTCAGATAAAAGTATGAAATTGATAAATATTCTTAGCGATTGGTTTTATGTTTAAGGTTATAAATTTGGAGGTTGCACCAAATTCTTCCGTGGTTCTAAGGCCTATGTTCATTTTATAAACATTACACTATGTTTGATTCAAGGAATTAAGAAGGAAAAGAAAACGAGTTTCTCCTCTTTTCCTCACCAAAATGGAAAAAATTTAGTTTTCTCTCCTCTTAGGTCATGTTCTCTTCACCTGATCTGATTGAAATAAATTTTGATATGATTTGGTTTGATCTAGTTTAAACTGAATGTAGTTATATTTAAAGCTATTTTTGATCTCATCTAATTCTAATAAGAATAAGTAATGAGTAAAAAAATAAGCTGAGAACATGGCCTCAGTATATTTTATCTTTTCTTTTCCTCTCTAACCAAATAAAAAATTATTTTCCATCTTAATTTCTTTCTTTTTCCCTCTCAAATTCATTAAACCAAACATTGTGTTAATATATTGATATCGTGGAATTGAGCCTTTTGCAATAGAAAAAGAAAGAAAAGATCCACTTATCGATCGATGAAAAGTGTGAGAAAGTTCACATTTCACATGATGACTTAAGGACTACGAAAGAATGACTTGCTTGATTTTCAACTTGTGACTAAAATAATGCAAATGAAAAATATCTATGTAATGTTTTCAAATTATGTGTTCAAAATAATAATAGTATTCTTTCAAAAGTTTAATCAAGGCCAAACCACCATGAGTGGAAGAAGCAAATCCCAACTAGAGCGATCAAACATCCAAGTCAGAATCCAGTTAAAATTTTGTTTGAATTTGGATGTCTCAAATTCAGGTTTTGATATATTTTTTTTTGCTAATGACTCTCAAAGTATTGTTGGGAATCTTTACTTTTAAAACATACAAATACTCAAAGTATTGTATAATACACCATTTGGATTCGTATAAACTATTACTCTGTACTAATTACTAATTAGTTGTGACTATCAAATAATGGTAAGGCAACATCACCACCCTCTCTATACTTATACCCAGAAAAAAAATTGTTTTTTTTTTCAACTTTTGAGCCAAGTTATCCAAACTTTAGCTTCCAAACTCCAGATTTCAATGTCTAAAATCTACCATCCAATTTCTAACCTCCTCTCTAATTCTCCGTTTGGATCAAACGGAGCATTAGGTACTCGATGTTATAACGACATTGGATTCTAATGACATTGGAGTGTGATTTTTTTTCACATCTTTGGCCATAAGTAAACTTGTTAGTCTCATTTAAATTAATTGGTAATTCTACCGAATATACAATAATACCCTCACCAATATGTCTCTCAGCCTTAAGTAAACTTGTTAGTCTCATTTAAATTAATTGGTAATTCTACCGAATATACAATAATACCCTCACCAATATGTCTCTCAGCCTTAAGGCCACCTACCCTCTTATGTTAGATGTTACACATCTAAAATTATGGGCTAAATACCCTTAAGTTCTAGGCCAATAGATAATTACCCATGCTCTTCTACTAGTGGTTAATTAGTACTATACCTCCATATCAGTAGTATACCCTGCTCTCAGGTCTTCTTCTTCCCCCTGAGTGTCCTCCACTGTTTCAGTATTAGCGCCGCTCCTTCCTTGACTGAAGCCCTTCTGTTCTCCTTTGTATTCCACAGCTCTGCCACTGGGTACCTCCCACTAGGGTTGTACTCATTCATCTCCTTCAATGCTGTCGTCACGGCTTCATACACTTCCTCGCCGTGCTCCCCCTTCAGACCCGCCAATCTCTCGTCTTCTTCATCTATGACCTCCTCCACCACCTCCTGAAAGTGTGACGACCGGGATGATAATAGGATAGTAAATAACAAAAAATGCTTAATAACACTGCCAAAGACCTCGTGGTCGAACGCCATAACTGTGGCTCTCCCAAATGGGAGGTCACCGGTTCGAACCCTAGTGGAAGCATTGACTCGTTGTGGTTGACTAGGCTCAGAAAGTATGTATGAATAGATATAAAATTGCAATACAGTTACTTATTAGTGGTATTTAAAAAACTAATACTATGTGAATATTTGAAGAATACATACTTCAGCAGTCTTATCTGAGCCATCTCCTTTCTTGATGATGCACTTAAAATGGTGCCAGTGTGGGTCTCTCAGGTGATTGTCCCACACTGTCCACAGCTCAAGAGCTTTCTGCTCTGCTTCTTTTTTCGGATGTTTTTTCTTGAAAATGTTGATGAATGGCCTTGTATCAAGATCCCCCATTCTCTTCACGCAGATGTTCGCACGGCTGTCTATCAATCCCTGTCAAACAAGCCAAATCTAATAATGTTAGTTACTAATACATTAGCAGTTTGATCAAATGAAAATCAGTTTTTTATTCTGCGCCAATAGCTTCAAGGATCCTGCAAAATACACTCTTTCTAGATCCATAACTAGACCATATATGTCAGTTAAAACAGCCAGTTAAAACAAAACTATATGATGGCATTATATTTCTATGATTTAAATAATCGTGTATTACTCCGTATATTATATGAAGCATGTGAAATCAAATAAAAGGCTCACTTTGATCAACTCTTTACGAGCATCTTGCACTTCATCATTGTCGCGCCGACCCTTTATCATAAGTTCACTGTTCAGGTTTTCCAAACATTCAAGCTCCTCTTCCTTCTCCTTCAACTCTTCTTCAATTGCTGTCAGTTTTTTCTTAGCTGACAAATCTCCTTCCTCACCCATGTGTCGCCTAACTTCAACTTCACCTCTCAACGACTCTATCTTCAATTCAAGTGCCTGCTTCCTATCAAGTTCTCTTTCCAGATCAATGATTTTTTGGCGATACTTCTCCTTTTCTCTCTGAAATTAATAGCATATATGCATACATTAACACCATTACCAACTTCATCGCATTTCATTGAATTTGCATGTAGCCTGCCTCATAGAGAATAGGAAAACATACCTTTTGCTCTTCAGCCAATTTTAACATTGTCTCACCAGCCTTTTTTTGAGCAAGAATTGCCCTCTCATTCTGCAGAGAATAAAAACATTCCATAACAGAATTCATTACTTTGATGCTTGAACATTTGAATAGGTTGTTTGATTTTGTTTTGCTTCAAGAACTTAAACATGAACAAAGCAAGGTCACAATAATCTGTTGGAATTAAGTGTATTAACTAGCTCAACTTTTGTATTACATGATTAACTCCTATATATAGAAAATGAAAAACACGTAACAACCAAAAATATCTTCCTAACTAACTATCAAACTATGTAACTAATCAACTAAACAAATGCTAAATGGTGGTTTACACCAACACCCCCCCTCAAGTTGAAGGTGGGAACAACTTCAACTTGCAATGGAATAAAATCTGTGTTGACTTCAATGTGTATGTAGATGAAAAACCCGTTGACCAAAACAGTAAGCTTCTGGTTTAGGATCTTTGCTTTGGTTTGAACTTTGAAGTCTCTGCAGCATCACTCTTCATTGATTCTTCAACAAGTTTCATAGGATAATTGCTTCTTTCCACCAAATAGAAGCTTGAACAATGACTCCTATTGTGATGTTAGGATGTTTCTCTTCCTTTTCAAGTACATCCAGGATTTTGCTCTTGTGTTCTACCAATTTGATCATTGCTGCTGGGGCTTGTACTGCCATTGTGACAAAACCACTTGATACTACATCAATGAGGATGCAACCTAGTGCAGTAGTGCCTTTGGGAAATCCAAAAAGCCTATGGGAAAACTTCACAGAGGGCAGCTTGAGTGAAGCAATCTGATCGCTTGATCATGAGCCTGAAGAATCATTTCAAAGTTAAAAGACTGCCCATTCCAGAGAGTAAATTCACCGCTTTGAGATCCAGTAATAAGACGTCTCCCAGTAGGTGTCCACACAACACGATTAATTGAACAACGGTTTTTGTTTAGGGATGTATGAACAAACTTTGCAGCAAAACTGGTGGATGGGTTATCAGAATAGGCAACTGTGGTAGCATATCAACTGCAGCTGCAGGGGTAGGTTGCAACACAGTTCTGTCCCTTGAGTGAAGCATTTGATGGTCTTTGGAATATCTCTTTTATTGACATCCAACCAGCAACGTGAATCATGCAACAACGGATGATGAAGACGAGATGACAAATCAATTGATGAATTCACATGAAAACATCAAAGGATGAAATGAAATCAATTGACAAAAGCAATTGATGAAATCAACCGAAAACCGGATGATGAAGAAAGTGAAACTTGATCAAAACGATACGAGTGAAACTCGATCAAAACGATACGAGTGAAACTCAATCAAACCGATTGAGTGAAATTGATAGATGATGAAACTTCTGAATTTCAGAAGTGAAAGAGAATGATTGAAACTGAACATTCCAATTATGAGAATGAAAATGAAGATAAGAGAACTTCATGAAAAATCTGTAAAGATGCAGATTTAAAAATTTAAATGGTGCTAAACAAGAGCACACAACTGAGTTCCAGGGGATGACTGAAAATCTGAAAAGGATGAATGCATATTTGCAACAAACTCCAATTATTAAAGCTGAAATTGAAAATCTTAGACAGGAATTGCAGCGATCAAGGGCTGCCATTGAGGATGAAAATGAAAATGAATTTGGATATTCAATTTGAGAAGTAACACAATGAATAGAGGATGAATATGGATCAACTGTGATGAAAATGGAATGGAGATGGCAAACTCAAATGAAGAATATGTTCTGAATTCTATTCAATCTGTGATGAAACCTGATTTGGAGAGATCAATGAAGGAGACCGGAAGAATAGAGAGCCCATAATAGAGGATCTTCATAGACGGAACCACATCCGTCGTTGATTTCCATAGGGATGCGCTCTGGAGTCGACGGAGATCCCACGTGGCGAGTTTGGTGGATCTGAGCCTGGTGGCAGGGGATCCGGAGAGCGCCTTGCTGCTTGTTACCGTACTCCTGCACCGACTAGTTGAGGAGGCGGACGAAGACGGGGTGGTGCAACAGCTCCGCGCTCACAACGAACCTCTCGATCTCCACTCCGACGTACACCGGCAGGTGTCCCTCTGGCACTCCGATCGAGCCAGATCTGAGCTTTATTGTCCTGAACGACTCAAACCGTCGCGATTGAGACGGCGTTGCCGCCCGCGCCTCGGACGGGAGCAAGCTGTACTGCGACGAGTCAGCGATGCGAGATAATCGGCAAAGAGAGATGCATCGATCGGGGCTAAGACAGTGATGAAAACGGCTTCTCCGCCTTCGACGAGATCGTACTAGAGGTCGGAGGTGACAATCGCTTTGTTGGAGAGACCGTGGCCTTTTCTTCACGGACGGCGTCGAATTGGTTCAGGATGACGATGAGCAGAACGGCGGCGATAAATCCAGATGTAGAGTACGCCATTGGAGGAGGAGTCAGAGACGTGAGGTAATTGAAGATTCAGCTTCTTAGGAAATCTCCCGGAGTTGAAATTGAAGATAAGGAGAGAAGAATTGGGAAGCGTAAAAATGGAAGATAAGGAGTCAGATTACTGGAGCTATAGCAACCTGCTCTGATACCATGTTGGAATTAAGTGTATTAGCTAGCTCAACTTTTGTATTACATGAAAAACAAGTAACAACCAAAAATATCTTCCTAACTAACTAACAAATTATGTAATTAATCAACTAAACAAATGCTAAATGGTGGTTTACACCAACATAATCAAGGATCAGAAACTAAAGAAACCAGTACACTTTAATTTCAAATATTCTCTCTAGCAGCTGGTATCCAGTTAAAACATACAAGAAACATAATTATTGAGCATTTCATTACACTAATAGAAATAGAGAGGATCATACCATTTCTTTATCGTTGTCAAGCTTCCTTTTCTCACTCTCATTGAGTTTTTCACGTAATCTCAGATCCCTTTCAAGCTGTTTAAGCTTTTCGCGTTTGTCATTCAACTTTTGTTTAGCTCTTTCGTTTTCTCCCAGAATGCTTTGCAGCTCTGCCATAGCCTTCTGTTGCATCTTCTCCAGCTCTAACAAAAAGGAAAAAAGTGAAGTTCAAGATTATAGATGCATGTGAGACATCAAATATCATATGTACGCTCTCTTATGAATATTTAAGTTAAAAAGGAGCACATCACAAGACTTGCTATATGGGTAACATGAAAAGCAGTTTGGTTTTTGTACCTTTGTTATATTTTGCAAGCATTTCATCCTTTTGCTTCATCACATTGTTCATTTTCCCTTCAGTTTTACTTATCTTTTTGGTCATCTCCTCACATTTCTTGTTCTTCAACTCTATCTTATTGGCCAAGTCAGAAAACAGCTGTGTATTCTTTCTCTGGTTCTCATTTTGGATCTCAGAAATTGATTTCAAATCTCCACTTCTCCTCAAGTAATTGCCAATTAGGCCAGGGGCATTGTAATCAGCACGACCCGCAATCCAAGCATAAAGCTTGTCGTCTCGCTCCCCAGAGGCCCATTCCACCTTTCCATGTTTACCTAGCTCAAACTCTCGCACAAGCGCCATTGCATTTTCAAAACCAGAAAACTCGCGACTAAATTCAACAACCGCAAAGCCAGAATGGCCCCGGCTGCTCCACAGAGGGTGAACCTTTAAAGGGTTATACCCTTTGGCAATCCACTCGTCTTTCAGCTTGTGACCACTATCACCAACAAACCTTCCATCCTTGAGCTCAACCGGAACGTTAGCAACTATTGCCTTCCAAGGCCAGACAAAAGATTCATCATTAAGGTTGGTTGGAGGCACAGACTTGGGAATGAGGGATGAACAGCTGAAAAACAGGATAATGGTATTAACAAATTACATGCCATTACAGATTAAAATGAGAAATTACGATTTTTGACAGATTATATGTCATCTGCAATGGCTAATTAGATAGTAATGTCCACCACTACATTTGTAAACCAACCAAGTTATGTATATAGGAAGGCATCTAACAAGTAACACCCAGCTAAACAGGAAATGCAACCACAAAGATTTTCATAAGGTCTGATGTTAGAACTTAGAAGTTGTAGTTTTTACTGATTGTGAATGGAAATTAACCCTAATGATGGCATTCTGCCTGATTTCAAATGTGATAAGAAATTAGGAATTTTCTCTGAAGTATTAAAGGGCATGTTGGAATGGAATGCAGTTTAAATTCAATGATAAGACGATTGTATAGAGAAACATAGAGCAGATTACTTGCCTCCGTTCATCTTGTCCATCTCTAGGGCTTCCTCCTCCGCCATCATACCTATCCATGGAGGCGGGAGAGGACTTGTCTCTGTCCGAAATGGGTGACAGAGGGCGCGCTGGAGGAGAAGAGTCCCGACCTTTCCAGTCATCCCTCCCAGAGACCTTGCCGGAAAATTGTGAGGGAGAGGAGCGACGGCCATCCCAGTCATCCCTCTTAGCAGGCTTGTAAGAAAATTGGGACGAGGAGCGGTTAGAGGGAGGAGAACGACCACAATCGTAGTCATCACTCCGAGAGCTCTTGTAAGAAGAGTGGGGCGACGAGCCGCGCGAGGGAGGAGAACGACCGCGGCCATAGTAGCCATCCCTCCGGGAGCTCTTGTAAGAGGGAGGCGGCGGAGAGCGCCGCCGCGAGCGAGGAGATCGGCGGCCGCCATCATAGTCTTCCCTCCGAGAGCGCTTGTACGACAAATGTGGCTTCGAGCTTCGCCGTGGAGGAGAGTCACCGCCTAGGCTATCCCGGTAAGGAGAGGGAGGAGAGCAGGACCTAGAGCGGCTCCGTCTGTACTTGCGGCCTCGAAGCGGCGGGGACCGACTGCGAGCGGAGTAGGTCCTACGTCCACGTCGTCTATCGAAGTCCCTTACATCTCTCCGTTCCCGATAGTCACGGTCACGGCTTCTCCGTGGCGGTGGCGGAGGTGGAGGAGAAGGCTCGCCCTTGCCGGGATTGCAATTGTCGACGGGAGCCGAGTCCATAACTCCGGCCATCGATTGGGGTGCAGTACGGGGGAGTGGTGAAGACGCCAATGGTCATGCGGTTATTACCTTCTCTGCTGGCGCCTGTACAAATTTGTCTTCTACCGCTCTAATTTACCAAAATCGCCCCCGCCTTTCTTTCTTTCTTTCCACGCCATATCAACGGTCGCAACCTCGCAAGTTTCGCCATCTGCCGTTTCCAGTCTACATCTGCTACTACATGTCTACAATTGAAAAGGGTAGAGGGGTATATTTATTTTAGACCAACATTTTTGAAATTGTAATTGAATAAACCAAAATTTTAAATAAAATTTTTAAAATTCAATTGAACATTCTTAGGATTGTTGTTGAGTTTTAGCGATGTGTTTTGAAAATAGAAAATAAATGATATGAGTTTCAAAATCTAAAATGATGTTATTTAAAAAAAAATTAAACTCATTATTTGATTAAAGATTATCAGGTCGCCAATAATGGAGGAAGTTGGTGGTGGTGGTGTAGTCAGTGGCAGAGAATGATCGACCCTTCAGGAAGAATGAGAGATATGAGACATCATATTCTTACCTTGATATCTCCCAATTCGAAAGAATTATTGAATTATTTATGATATCTGGAGATACCAAATTTAAATTCTTTTTATGTCTCACCAAATACTAAAAAAGAAATTTGATATCGAAAGATATGGAAACCATATCCTATACGCTCACCAGACGGGTCCTTAGTCTTTTACTCCCTCTATTTTTCAAAATATTTTTTCTTTCATTTTTTTTTATTTTCTTTAAAACACTTGGAGTTTCAAAAGAAATGACTAATATATCCAAATGAAGTCATTATAGTATACTCTATCCATTTTGCATTGATGTGACAACTTATTTATGTGATTTCTCTCTTTTTCGATGCTAAAGATAGATTTAAAAAGTGAAATTATAAAACTAAATTTGTTAAAAGTCAAAATAAGAACACTTTTTACAAGAAGTGCTTCTTTTTTATTGGTGAGTCGAGATTATTAGATTGACTCTTACCCTTCGTTTAAATGATAAGAAAAGAGAAATAAATAAAGCGCAATGTGAGAAAAAAGCACATTGCGAATTACAAGTATATTTTTTGTCATTTGTTTTGGTGAGAAGATGGAGAAGGAGATAAAATTGGAGAGAAAGACCAAGGTAGGACTAACATATTGAAAATATATCAAAATAGGACTTGTATGTTTTTATTCCCGAAATAGGACTTGCATTATCAAACATGATTATGTATATTACCAAAAAAGTATAGTAATGTGCACATTCACAATGTCACATTACCACAGTGGAAAGTTCTATTTCGAGAAAAAACATGAAAGTCTTATTTTGATACTTTTCTATATGTTCTAGTCTTATTTATGGTTATTTTTAATAAAATTGTAATAAAAAAAGGTTTCTCTCCAACACGAGTCAAAATATGACATCATTCTCTCACCACAAGATTCTTATCTTTTTTTGTTTTATCTTTTTTTTCATTATTTTCTTATCACTTTAAAGAAAGCATTAGAGACTTACTTTTAGTGTACAAACAAATAAAAGTTATTGAACGACCATAAATATGTAATAGTGACAGTGACATCCATTTGTGGATGGGGAGTATTATTTTTTCTATTGGAATCACTTCCGATTAAATCGAATTAGAAATATTTTTAAATATAACTACATTGAGAATTAATTCATACCAAAACTTATTCCAAGATAAGAATTATTTTTTGGTGGTTGTTTATCCTAATGTGAATATAATTGCTCACAAAAAAAGAAAAATGGAATGTTTTTTTGGTGTTTATCTCGATACGACTAAAAAAAGGAAATATGAAATGTTTATTGAAGGGGGTTCCCATGACATTGGTTCACATTGGGAACCAATGGGATGACCCGAGGGTGCTCTGGTGTCCCGTTCGTAAAATTGACGGTTCCTATCCCCTAACCTCTCCGGTAAACCCCCTCACTCCGCCTCGACCCGAACACGCCCCCCACCCCCTTCAATTGTACCCTCAAGTTAATTTTGATTTTGGAGTCAAAATTTGACTCCAAAGTCAAAATTATCTGGGGGTGCAATTGAAAGGGGTGGAGGGGCGTGTTCGGGTCGAGACGATGTGGGGGTTTTACCGGGAAGGTTAGAAGATAGGAACCGTTAATTTTACAAACGAGACATCGGAGCACCTCAGGTTCCAAGACATTGGTTCCTAATGTCTTTGGAACCAAAGTCATCTTTGTTTGGGGGGAGAGAGTACATGTTTTAAATAGTTCTATGGATTTGTGTGGCCATTTGTGACCTCTAGCAATTTTCCGTTCGATAAGTCCCGTTCTTCTTCGTTCAGTTGGTTGCTGGCTCTTATTTTGATCGTTTCAGTGGGCGTGCCATCATCTGATTCCCCTCCTCTGATCTCCTTCATTCATTTTCTCCCAAGGTAAGATTCCTGTTCTTCTGTAAGTTTTTGGGCGAGATATGAAATCACAACAAACCCTAGAATTTGGATTGCGTCTGATGCCCCCCCCCCCT